CGCTACGGCTTAGCGAGCCCTAGGAACCCTCAGGGGTCCGGGCCACCAGCAGAGCTATTATTAGGTTATCGGGCTTATCAAGCCTAAATAAGGGTCTAGAAAATCCGGAAAAATCCTAGGATAACCTAGACAGCCTAACCTATACCCAGGCTACCCTATAGCCAACCTACCCTAGACTAGGTCTTAGATCTTGGATATTTCTTTCAGCTTTAAAGATAAGATATCCAATATCTATACTTAACTAATCAGCTTGAGAGCCTCTTTCAGATAAAAGTGGGTCTTATAAAAGCTATATATATCGGTTGAAGGGTTTAGTAGTTATGAGTTGATTTTTTAGATTTCCTATAGTAATGAATTTTGCGGAAAATCAAAAGTGGCCCGGGAAGCTGCTGTCGCGGGTTTTAGAGTAGTTTTTAGTCGGTAGACCTATGAGAGAAATTAGTAGAATTTTCTAGTCTCTCTCACAAAAATAAGATTCTTTTGCGCTATATTTTGCACTATATTTAGTCCCTCTAGCACTGAAACTCGTTGAGTTATAGCGGAGTTAGCAGTTGAGAACTGTGAGTTATAGCGAACTTCCCTGCTATATTATAGAGGCTTATAAGGGCTAATACCCTGTAAACCCACTGTAATTTCAACAAAAGGGATCAGGGCTATTATAATCTTATAAGATTATAGATCTTAAAGTATATTATTAGTTATATAGAAGCTAGCTATATCTATTACTAAGAGATACTCTTTATTACTAAGAATTCTAGCTAATTTATTAATAATCTATTATTTTAATAATTCCTTATTATTATATACTATTTTATTAAATTTAATAGTAATATTAGGTAAATAAAGATAATCTTTATCTTTAAAGATTTAATCCTCTTTCTTACTATAGAAAATAATCTTCAGTTTTAACCTTTAGATCCTATCTATAAAGATATAAAGGATTAAGATAGTCTGATACTTATTCTATCTACTTTAATTAGATTTTCTACTTATTATTTTTATATCTTTAATCTTATATATATAGCTATTAAGATATTTAAAAGATATAGGGGTTTTATCTATATTTATAATATAGCTTTATTAGAATTATCTTATAAGTAATATTATTATAAGGATATAATTAAAAGTAATAGAGTATTTATTTAAAATTTATTAGATAAATTATAGGAAATTATTAATAATTAAAACTACTTCTTTAGAAGTCTTTATAGTTCTTCTTATTATATATCTTCTTAAGAGATTATTTTATAGCTTAAAATTAGCTTATTAATTATTAAAAAATATAAAAATACTTTTATAATTAGGGTATTTTAAAGAAAATAACTCTTATACTTTTCTCTTAAACTAGCTAACTATAAGGAGCCTATCTAGCTTCCGTTAGATAAAAAATTTATCTATTAGAGCTTCCTTAAGTAGTAGTTACTCAGGGCTATAGTAAGGGGGTTTTCCTAAGATAATCTTACCCTATTAATAGACCTAGTCTATAATTATTATCTTTAGAATTAAAAAGAAAGTAGTAGCTTTATATTATATAGATAGATAATAGAAGTTAGGTCTTATAACCCTTTATATAAAAATATAATAATAATAAAGAAATATAAGTACCTTTATCCTTATTATATTAGTATAACTTTATTTAATATAGTAAATAGGTTTTATAGGAGTATAAATTCGATCTGAGAGACTCTTATATTTCCAGTCGGTATAGTATTTAGCTAGTATAACTACTATATTAGGATCTCTCAGCTATAAAGAAGGTATTATAAATAGCTTCAGAAAAGGCTCCCTAGCTTTATAGAAGTAGCTCTGATCTCTTAGGTTAACTCGTTAACTGATATATTTTTAAGAGGTTAGTTAGGTACGATCTGAATAAACTAACCTGTTTGTATTTAGCAGGGGATAATATATAGAGAAAAACAGGGATTATTATAGGGCTCATCTTGCCCGAATTTTGCGAATTTATACAGTACTGTATTTCGACAAACTTAACATTTCTTGAGGTTGAATACGGGGTTGCCATCTTCCAACTCTACTGGCAGGGCTATGAACCACCACGTCCGATCAACCAATTGTGCTTGCTCTACTGTCTTAGGTACGCTTGGCTATAAACGCCGGCTACAAGGGTTAGGTATCACGCAGTCCTATCCAAAAATCTCTGATGTGTGTGGGGGCGGGCCGTAGAATAATGCCTAGTTGGGTTGGGGATTTTTGCGTCACTTGTGGTGAAATGTGCTCTGGGTTGTCGCCCCAGAACGTTGGTCACACCCACCAGAAACCGAGTACGATGACTAACGAGTTTCTCCGTCATTGGTATGGTGTCTGCGATAGTCAGCTGCCCAAATGCCAAACGTTTGGGGCATGGTTGCTCAACCAGAGTTGGTAGCAAGTCTTAGAGAAAGCAGGGTAAACCTAGCCCTCTCTGTTCTACAACCTATGAAGAGACATTGACGTGGCACTCTTATCATCGACAAATACCTCCTCTTATAGACTAAGCCATAAAATCTCTGCTGACAAGACGGGGTTCTATCGCATTTATACAACATAGCATGTAGGCTGAATTGTCACTGCAGATTTCCACCGTTGTGGTCGTTATCTGGGATGCCGAAAAGGCTGTCTGGGGTCGGCCGATTGGCCGCCCGAGAGCAGGAATGTCTCCGCTCCACAACCCGAATACGCAGTCCTCGGATTGCTCGGGGCCTTACGAGCTAGAGACCGGCGGCTGCCACGCTATTGCATTTGCGGATAGGCCTCCCGCAGCACTTGCGACCATGATGAGCAGGGTGTGGATAGATTGTGGAGTGTCAGATTGATTGAAGAACTGGCTTGCGCCTCGCGCTGAGAAGCGAATGCAAATGCCACAGTGCCGGCTGGTGGGCAAAAAGCGAGATGGCCGAGATCTATTCAGGCATATCGAGGCCTGTCCCCAGCTCCAAGCGAGCTCGTCACGGTTGCAATCCGCGCCAGCGAGGGATCCCTATAATTTACCCCTGTCTCGCCAAATAATTGAGATTGGGAATCTCGGATCTGGCGAATCACGGCACGACGAGATTGCTGAGTTTTCTCGTCACGGTGCGGGGCGTTGCCAAGAGAAGCTTTGATCGCTTGCTCGAGCAGATTTCTGTCCTAGCTCGCTGCCACCCTTGCTCGTATTCGTATGCACGGAAGCGAAGGGTCCTTGTTCCCGAACCCGGCTGCTTACATAACCCCAGGCGGTGAGCACCAGGCGAATCACCGGCGCCTATCAGCGCACCGCAAGTCCGTGTGAGGTGCGAGCGCCCTGGCGATGGCAATCCTGCAACCCAGATCGGCGAGATCTGCGGCCTGTTGAAATTCTGCCGCGGGGAACCGTCATTTCCAGGGTCGTGGTGCTTGTAGTAAGAGCTCTGGTGCGAAAGCTGTTGGCCATGTAAATCTATCAGCCATTTCCAGCTCAATTGAGGAAAATAGAAGTAAAATGTAGAGATGGAAGAAGAGAAGGCACCCTCAGGCACGTCCTTCCCGCCTGTAGCCAGGAACCAAATCGCAGGTGCTAACCACCAACTTTAATCTATCCCCGGTGGAGGGATGCTTGAATCACTTATCGATAATTAAAATCAAACCCCCCCCCTCTTGGCTGCGGCACGCTTGCCCCGAAGAAATTCAATCAAATACACAGATCCACCTACTAAATCTTGCACTCCCCCCTTTTGTGCGACTAGTAATACACCTCGAATTCACGGGCTGTATGTAGTCTTGTCGACTCCGGGTTGTGTCGTAACCTCGTTCATCTTGCTCCTTGCGCATCACCACCTTTCGACACCCAGCGGTAGCCATTACTGCCCTGGCCGACGACAAGAGCTCTTCGTAGCTAGCCACCTTCGTTTCTTGTCCGCGGACCACGCGCTCATCCATCATGGCCACCAACACCAGCTTCGCCTCGCCGCTCGCCGGTGTCTCTGGGACTCTGTTCCCAATCCCTCCCCAGATTGAGGGCATCTTCGATACCATCAGCAGCTTCGGCTTCTGGCCCATCGCCTTTTCCGTTCTGGCCCTCCTGGTGGCCTACGATCAGGGTAGGCAGGATTTCCTTCCTCACACTGCCGTGCTCATCCGTCGAATTTGCGCGCTGACCTCAATTGACTCCTGCAGTTAGCTACCTTCTGAACAAGGGCAGCATTGTTGGCCCTGCTTTCAAGGAGCCCTTCATTGGTCCTTTCCTGCAATCCGTGAACCCCAAATTCGAGGAGTACTATGCCAAGTGGAAGAGCGGTCCCTTGAGCTGCGTCTCTGTCTTCCACAAGTATGTCATCCCGAACTACTGCCCATTGGAGCGGGCACAGCTGACAGAAGCAATCAAATAGGTTCGTCGTCATTGCGTCCACCCGCGATATGGCCAGGAAGGTTTTCAACTCTCCCGGTTTCGTTAAGCCTTGCGTCGTCGATGTCGCCCACAAGCTCCTCGGTGACGACAACTGGGTGTTCCTTGACGGCAAGGCCCACGTCGATTTTCGCAAGGGCCTTAACGGTCTCTTCACCCGCCGAGCCCTCCAATCCTATCTCCCCGGCCAGGAGGACCTGTACAACCGTTACTTCGACCGCTTCCTCCGTGTCACGAAGGAGGCCGATAACAAGCCCGTTCCTTTCATGAGTGAATTCCGCGAGATCATGTGCGCCGTCTCTCTCCGAACCTTCTGCGGACATTACATTTCCGACGAATCAGTCAAGAAGATCGCCGACGACTACTACCTAATCACCGAGGCCCTCGAGCTTGTCAACTTCCCCATCATCCTCCCCTTCACCAAGACGTGGTATGGCAAGAAGGCCAGTGACATGGTCCTCGCCGAGTTCTCCAAGGCATCCGCCAAGAGCAAGGCCCGTCTTGCGGCTGGCGGCGAGCCCAACTGCATCATGGATGCCTGGATCAAGAACATGCTGCTGTCCAAGAAGTGGACCGAGGCTGACGCCAAGGGCCTGCCAACTGAGAACATCGAGAAGCCATCCCCTCTGCTCCGCGAATTCAGTGATTATGAGATCGCCCAGACCATCTTCACTTTCCTCTTCGCCTCCCAGGATGCCACCAGCAGCGCCGCCACCTGGCTGTTCCAGATCATGGCCCAGCGACCTGATGTTCTTGATCGTGTGCGCGAGGAGAACCTGAAGGTCCGAAACGGTGATATCCACGCCGCTGTTGATCTTGACCAGCTTGAGTCGATGACTTACACCCGTGCCGTCATTCGTGAGCTTCTTCGCTACCGCCCTCCGGTTCTGATGGTTCCCTATGAAGTCAAGAAGCCCTTCCCCATCACTGATTCGTACACTGTCCCCAAGGGTAAGTCGCCAGACTGGATCGCCAATCGTGCGCTCTCTGCTAACCACGCGACACAGGCGCTATGATTATCCCCACCACCTACCTCGCACTCCGTGACCCCGAAGTCTACGACAACCCCGATGTTTTCGACCCCGAGCGTTACTACACTGGTGATGCCGAGGCCAAGGGTGTGAAGAACTTCCTCGTTTTCGGAACCGGACCTCACGTGTGCCTCGGACAGCACTATGCTCAGCTCAACTTGGTTCTGTTTGTTGGAAAGGCGTCGCTTCTGCTCGACTGGAAGCATCACCCTACCCCGCTCTCCGAGGAGATCAAGGTGTTTGCCACCATCTTCCCCAAGGTATGTCAAAGTGAAGATCAATTGGACTTTGTCGCAAATTCGCAGGATATGCTAACAAGGACTGTTTTTGTAGGACGATTGCCCCTTGACTTTCCAGGAGAGAAAGTGGTAATTTTAAGAACGTTGGAACATGGCCAGTCATGTGATGGCCACAGATTCGAACAATCCCACACCTGCACCCCAGCAAGAGAATCATGCGATTCTGAGCAACGGGCCAAGAAAAAACGAACCATGGCCCCTTAGCGGCCAAATTGATGACCCCCACAAACATGCCCGGACTGCAAATCGGGGACCCTTAATGGAATAGACCCCCAGCAGACGGCGAAGTAGACAAAGATCTCATAGACACGGAAGCCCTCCTACAAATTCGAGGCCTGGCGCACTTATAATTACACGAGTATTTCTCGGAGAGACTGCCCAACAGTCATTTTAATTGGCATGGTTAAAATAAAGTGCTTTTCTTATTTTTCTTAGCCTGTGTTCGTTGGATGAAATCGTGTGAATTCTGGTGGCATAGCAGCCGTCTCTTTTTGAAGTCTTCGCTCTCCTTGGCCACCTAAATAACAGCATCATTCTCTCGTCTATATCTCAACAATGGTCCTGCAACAGCATATATACAGTACAGTATCTGAGTAAAGGGGTAGTAGACCTGGGATGACTTTGTCATGGGGAGAATACTGGAGGGTTCCTTGGGCGAAAAGACCCTGGCATTTCGGCACCCTGGCTCTGGCAGAATCCCTTGTATATAACCCCCTATGGTATAACCCCATTCTCTATCGATTTGCATTGCCGATGCAAGGGAAAGCAGCAATCTGTCCGAATTTCGGTGATCGTGAAATCTGTCCGGAGTAGACTGTCCAAACAAGTGATCAGGTTGTCGCGACTCAGCTCATACATCATGCACGCTACTTTCTCTGCTATTACCCTGTCTCAAGAGACCTCTTGGTTTAGTGAGAGGATTACCTTGATTGCAGCCATGATCAAGGTATTGTTGAATGTTTGGGCCGCTGTCGATCGCGGACAAACTCCTGTGAGTCATCAACTCTTGACGCTTTCGAGAGTACCTAGCGACTTTGAATATATTCTCCCAACACTGTTAAGCCACTTGAGAGAAAGCCTATCTAGTATAGCGTTGCCCTTCTGTTTAGCAAGATCTACAGCCCCGCAATTCGACGACAATTAGGGCGCGCCTTAATTCTTATCAATGAGTGTTCACAGGCATGGATATGTATTTGGAATTCGACGCGCCTTAAAACCTCGTGGCATTATCCCGCCTTTCAATTGACAGAAATCGAGGCCAATTGATCATTCTCTTGATTCACAATCTTATTCTTAGCCATCGGAGACATGTCCTCTGCACTGGTATACGGCGGAGGGTGCATCGGAGCGGTATCGGCCTACCTGCTCTCTCAGAAACTGAGCCCCGAACGCATCGCCCTTATCTGTCGGTCCAACTACAAGGAGATTAAAGAAAATGGCATCACAATCAACTCGGGTCTTTGGGGCTCGCAATTGAACGTGCGGCCTGCCGTGTATCAGTCAGTCGACGCTGCTGTGGCCGAGCAAGGCTTCGCATATGACTACGTCTTCATCACGACAAAGGCGCAGTCCAAGGAGGATACAGACACCGAGGCTGTAGCGTCGGCCATCTCCTCTACCACGGCCATCGTGCTCATGCAGAATGGCGTGGGCATCGAAGACCCCTGGCATACCAGGTTCCCAGACAACCCCGTCATCAGCGTGGTCATGTACCTGCCGGTCACGCAGACGCAGCCGGGGGTGTTCTCCCACGCACTCTACCACGTATTCCAGATAGGGACGTTTCCGCACAATGCGCCTGAGCGGCATCAATCGATGGCAAAGAACCTGAGCGCCATCCTGAGTTTGAGTGGAGCCAAGGCGGCGGTCTTTGACGATGTCCAGCCGTGCCGATGGAGAAAGATGCTAGTGAACGGGTCCGAGAACCCAATATGTGCCCTCGTCCAGCTGCCAGACGTGGCTTTCTTCCAGAGCAGTCCCGGGGCGACCCAGTTCACCCGCGACGTCATGATAGAGATTGCGTCCGTGGCTCGAGCGGCCGGGTATCCCGCCATTACGGACCAAGTCGTGCAGGAGCAGCTGGATGTGATGACGGGTCGGCCGTTCCCGGGTGTCGAGCCGAGCATGATGGCCGATGCGATGGCGGGACGGCAGATGGAGGCTGATGCCATCATCGGGAATGTGGTGCGGATAGGGAGCCAGTATGGGGTAGAGACGCCGCGGCTGAGTACACTTTACTATCTCATCCAGGGCCTGAATTATCGTCACAAGCGAGGCGTGCCTGTTAGAGGATGATGACACATGGGGCTGTCATGCAGAAATAGACCAAATGTTTTAGAGTACTCAATCCTTCCGAGCATTACGGCGGTCTTGAGTGCCGGTGGGACATTTCCAACCAACACACGGCAGGCCGTGCCTACGAGAGGTGACGATCGTGAGAATATGGAATGATGCATTCCGCTCTCTGGTAGATGATTTATGTTATCATGCTACACTACACACATTGGCGAAAGTGTCTAGATACCCATATGAAAGAAGTAGCATTCAGCTCCATTCGTTCCGGACTAGAAATGCGAAACGTAAACCAAGTTACAGTATTCAAAAAGATCTTCTCGCTTATTCACATCAACTAGAATTTTAGCCAGGAATCAAGCCATATAGTATTTTCTATTTACATAGGTGAATATCCTCCTTACCTATTTACATTTCTCAGGGAAAACCTTCTTCAGGACTAAAAACCCTTCCTTCTCCAAAGCTAATAATACGTACTAATCCCACCAACTGGGCCACCGTTCTTTCAACCCTTGCCCTTAAAGTCGGGCTTGGGCGCTGGTGGCGTCGTGCGAGCAAAGAGCTATTCATCGTCATACTCAAGGCCCCTTCGACCCCTGGGTGGTGGTGAGGGCTTGGGTCGTGAACCACCACCCTTGGGCATATTTACTCCGCGAGCGAAGAGATATTCATCGTCATATCCGAGATCCCTTCGACCTCTAGGTGGTGGTGAAGGCTTAGGCCGTGAACCACCACCTTTAGGCACGTTTACGCTTCGAGCAAAGACAGATCTTCGACCTCTGGTGGGTGGTGGTGAGGGCTTAGGTCGAGAACCGCCGCCCTTGGGCATGTTTACTCCTCGAGCATAGAGGTCCCTTCGACCCCTAGGCGGTGGCGACGGCTTGGGTCTTGAACCACCACCTTTAGGCATATTCACTCCTCGAGCAAAGAGAGACCTTCGACCTCTGGTGGGTGGTGGTGAGGGTTTAGGTCGTGAACCACCACCCTTAGGTTTATCCACACCGCGAGCAAATAGATATTCATCGTCATACCCGAGATCCCTTCGACCTGTAGGTGGTGGAGAGGGCTTAGGTCGTGAACCACCACCCTTAGGCTTATCTACCCCACGAGCAAAGAGAGACTCCTCCTCGAGCAGGCCCCGAGCCTCCAGCTCGTCCTCTTCATCTCTCTCCTCGAGCTCGAGCTCAGGAAAGCGGGCCACAAGCTCAGCGGTGGCATCAAGCTCTACACCTCGGGCGGCAAGATCGGTGGTTTCTTCGGCAGCAAGACCGTTTGAGGCGAGGCCAAAAGATAGGAGAGCTGCAAAGCTGAGATTCTTGAAAGCAACCATTTTGAAAGCTACTCCGCAAATGTTCTTAAAGAAAGTTCTGAAAAATTAACCGGTATGTTAGAAAGGGTAAGAGAATAGAGAAGTAAAGGGAAAGGGAAAAAAAAGGTAAGATAAGGAAATAAACACTGAAATCTGAAAAAGACTGATGTTATACGTTTTCTTGTTTAATAAAGAAAAGAAAAGCCAGCTAGTTGTCCAGAGTGTTCAGGTCTTTTATACTTTTTCCAACTTCTACTATTATTAATCCTAGGTTTCCTATAATAGATTTGACCCAAGAAGAGGCGTGTCTATCAAGCGAACCACCTGTCCCTCACCCACATCATCCAACCTGTTTCCATGAGGTTGAGGTAGCTCCAGGGATAGCGGAAAGTGATTAGACCGACCGATGGGTGTAGTCAGAAGACGATCTCAAACAGGCCTAGTTGGCCAGTCTCCCTATTCGGATTCGGCAAATCGATCCTTGGACTCACCTGCTCGGCGGAGTACGTTTCAAGTTAGACCTGACCCTCCGAATTCAGAAACTACATATTATTAAGCGTTGCAGGAGTTTTCTATACTACTATGTAGGTCTCTTTCAAGGGCCCATAGTTAGGATTCAAGAATTATAAGCCGAGTGTAACTGGGAGGCGGTCTCATTCAAGCCCTCTGATCACTCCCTGTCGATCCCCTAGCGAGGAGTGTGTTAAGGTATTAGTGCCTTGTAGTAAAGTAAAAAGCCAACACATCAAGGTTGTACGTAGATTATCCATTTGGGAGTTTTCACATCTTCGCATAATCCAGCACTCAGTTTGCTGCGGCGAATGGCGCAAGAATCCAACTATCTCATTGCGAAGTTGGCCTCTAACTCAAAAAGCGCCCTTAGTGTAGGTATACGAAACAGAGTCATTGTAAAGTGTCTTTTCGTAATGTTGCCGGCACATACCTTGCTATGTAGAGCGGCCGACTAACACTATCCCCCCTTATCCCAATCCGTCAATTTTTCCAGTAACGTTGCACGGTCTTGTATATCCTGGAGCTATCTGGAGCTATACTTTTTACCTTGCAGGGTTTTCGCCCGCCTGAGAGGATTAGACAAAGAGGTACTTGGTATGCAACCTATCTAAGGTGAATGTTCAAGTATTTTCTGGTTTGTACTCGACGAAGGTGACCTTCGCCACTAGCCATAACTACAACCATGATTCGATGTTCTAGGACCTCTATTAATATCTTCTAGTATCGTCTGTATAGGACCAACAAGTGGAGGAAATTACCTTGCTGTAACTTCCGATGCCCCCCGGATATATACTTTTTGGTTTGTCAGCGTGATATTCTAAACATCGGCCTCCCCTCGGGATTTCGGGCTTACTATGATGTTATGGCATGCTAGCAATTTCAAATAGATGATCATCGGCTCCGCCATGCTTAAGATTGATGAGAGGAACACGCTCCTGGAGGTAGCGGCTGGGTTGAATGAGCCGATTCGGCTCTTGGGCTGTTTCTGCTTCAAAAGCTGCTACGAGAAAACGGGCTTTTCAACCGGAAGCCTTGTTTGCTGTGCTTAGTGTCCTTGGAATTGCTAGGTGCAATAGCCTGTCCAGCGTCAATGCTATTGTTGGTGTTCACAGCCTGACTGCTATAGATCGTGACTATCCTCTCCCTCGTGCCTTTCTTTACAGAGGGAAATCGTGCCTGCGTAACCGACCTAGTCATCTTCTATTAAATTGTGTGATCTTTCTCTCGTCATGCTGGGCGATTGCTGCGTAGTTGACCTAGCCGTCTGCCGTTATGACGGGAGGTTGTTGTGTAGTTGTCTTCCATCAAGACGGGCGGCCGCTGCAGACCTGGCCTAGTTGTCAGTTGTTGCGATAACTAATTGCTACGAGCCTGAAATATCTGCCATAACCTAGCCGTAGCTATGATGCATCTTGTCTCTGGCAGCCCGTCAATAGCCCAACAGCCCGGCTCTCTTGTATTACGCTCACTACAACTCTTTTGGCTAGGCAGCTGAGCCACCATTGGCTGATAATTGCTTAGTAGACTTTTCGTAACAGGCTCTTGGAAAACAAGCAGCTGTGGCACCAACTTAACCCTTTCAAGCAAACAAGCATGCCCAAAAGTTTTAATGACAATGGGGAACATGAAAGTTTTGGACATCCTGACTAGCCCTAACGGATTGTTATGAGTGCTGTCAGGCCTATGGCGCGCGATGATATCTGATCCACGGTCTAAATTATCAAGCATGGCGCACCTGTTAGAAGATAAAGCGGGGGGAGCTTATGAAGCTATCATATAGAATTAGACCAAGTCGATGCGTGTTTTGGGGTTCTCCTCCCGTGCGTCCCTCCATTGTCTTGATTGGCCCCGGTGGCAGATAGCGAGAGCATGGGGTGATGCATTCCGCGCTGACAGATGACCTGCGTCGCATTGTTACACACCTCAATGGAAGAGAAAAGTAATCGGCTTCGCTGGTTCCGCCGCAGAGAAAAGGGACATGCACAATTCGATGTCCTGGGTGTCCTTCCCGCGATGCCTTAGAGTTGCATGTTGCTGCCTGGGAGAGATGTACCTGATCGCAGACGGGCATGTACAGCCATCGTACCTGCCTACGTCAAGTCTCTTCGTCGGACAGGGGTGTAGCCGGTGACAAGCCTTGAGTTCGTTGCATGGCTTCCAGGCAAGTTTCGCCTGCTTCGATTCTCTGTTTTGCCAGTGGAACATCGAGCATAGCTTAGTCTTGATGGTAACTCGATTATCCTCCAGCAATACGTTAGTGCTGAGCTTGAGCAACCTTGAAGGCAGTTGAGTGCTTTGAGGTACCGATAAAGGTACTGCTGCGTGCATGCAGCGGAAAGGGCGCTATGCCGTCTTGGGGAGACAACCAAGACAATGACGCGCGCCACAAGAGCCCAAGCCCAAGCCCAAGGCTGGGAGCTATCCCTTACATGTAGCACTAAATGGTAGGTGCTTTGGCGCTACACCTGCCACCACCTACAGGTACTAGACAGAACATGGATCCGGACAAGCATCCAGACTTGGTCAACTTGTCATGATCCTCGCTCCGTCGTAACTCGTCATCCCGTTGACGACGACATCCACCTCCCGTGCCCCCTTCGCATCGACCGACTTCTCGCCCAGCGACGAGCACCGTCGTCAATTGATATTCATGCCACTCGGGTCTACGCCGTGACGCTCGCGCCAGAGCTTTCGATCCCTCTCCCTCGCCGCTCTCCGCCACCCCTCGACCCCGAATCTTCCTCATCAACCCAGACAGGGCGGACGAACGCGAAACTCGAGCCTTCCCGACGTTGCCGTGCGGCACCATAGCTGCCAGCATGTCGCTCGCCCAGGGTATCGCCTCCATGGCCACGCAGATGATGAGTACGTCGACAACAAGTCCGGGCGATGCTCCCTCCGAGCCGTGTCTTTGCTGCGCGCCGCAACAGCCCGCCCGCTGCGTGTTGTAGAACCGATTCACTGACATTGCGCTCCCAGAACGTGGAGATGACGATTCCGATCCCGGAGGTGCGTTCGAACCAACTTGCGAAACGGTGTCAGAACATTGTTGTCCATCACAGAAGATGCCTCTGGAAGCGACCTCGAAGCGCTCGACATAAGCTGACACCGCGAGCTATTGTGTCATGTATGCTAACTGCCGCATCCAGGAGGCGACTCGGCCAAGGAGGAGGTATTCAAGGCCTGGGCCATCTTCATGTGCATCATGCTGCTCATCGCTGCCTTCTTCGCCAGTTATGTTCTCCAGCAGAGGAAGATCACCGCCATCCACGAGACTGTCGTTTCCATCTTCGCTGGTAGGTTACAAGGGCCCGTACTACATAGTGTCTTGGTTGCCATCGGCGCTGACCTTTGATCTATTCTAGGCATGGTTGTCGGTCTCGGGCTTCTTATTTTTTCAGGCGATTCTGTTCGCACTATCATCAGCTTCGACTTCCAATTCTTCTTCAACCTCCTTCTGCCGCCGATTATTCTCGCATCGGGTTATGAACTCCACCAGGCCAATTTCTTCCGCAATATAGGCATTATTCTGACCTTTGCCTTCGCTGGAACCTTTCTGTCCGCCGTGGTCATCGGCCTGATCCTTTTCCTCTTTGCGCTGCTGCCAGGCACCCCGGACTTGACCTTTGTCGATGCCATCTCGGTCGGCGCCACTCTCTCAGCGACGGACCCCGTCACCATCTTAGCTATTTTCAACGCGTACAAGGTCGACCCGAAGCTTTACACCATCATCTTCGGCGAGTCTATCCTGAATGATGCCGTCGCCATCGTCATTTTCGAGACCGCCCAAAAGTATAAGCAGGGTGGGGACTCTCACAGCTCATACGGCCTGATCAGCTTCTTTGAAGGAACCGGCATTTTCTTGCTCCTCTTCTTCAGCAGTTTGGCAATTGGTGTTGTTGTTGGTGTCGCTACAGCTCTCCTGCTCAAGTTCACTTACATCAGGCGGTTCCCCAAGATCGAAAGCTGTCTTGTCCTTCTCATCGCTTATGCGACGTACTTCTTTTCTCATGCTGTTCATCTGTCCGGTATGCCCTCCTTAGTCTCGGTGGATTACCCATAATGCATTGCGTAGGATAATAAGCTAACAAACCACGCTCCAGGTATCGTATCACTCCTCTTTTGTGGTATCACCTTGAAACATTACGCCTATTTCAACATGTCGCGACGTACCCAGCTTGTCACCAAGTTTGTCTTCCAGGTCACCTCGCAACTAGCTGAGAACTTCATCTTCATCTATCTAGGACTCGCGTTGTTTTCTGACAGCTCACTTGAATTCCAGCCACCCCTGATCATCGTCACGATTATTGCCGTGTGCGCTGCTCGTTGGGTTGCCGTATTCCCGCTGTCTAAGATTATTAACTGGTTCACCATGTACCGCGCATCTCGCAGAGGCATAGACATTGCGCCGCCTCTTCCATATAACTATCAGGCAATGCTCTTCTGGGCCGGTCTTCGTGGCGCTGTCGGTGTGGCTCTGGCTGCACTTCTGGATGGCGGCAATGCCTACAAGCTGCGGGCTACAGTTCTTGTAGTCGTCGTGCTCACCGTCATTATTTTTGGAGGCACGACGGCCCGTATGTTGGATATTTTGGGTATCAAGACAGGCGTTGTGGAAGAGATCGATAGCGACGACGAGTTCGACATCGAATCATTCGGCGGGGGACTGCAGGCCAAGCGTTCCGGCACCGGTATTGGATACAATCCTCGCCGCGCCCGTACTCTCTCCCTCAGTAATCTTGACATACAAAGCGGCTCTGCAAGCTACGTCTCAGGTCATAGGTCTCCTCTGATAAAGTCTGCCAACCCGCTCAGCCGCAAGAACTCAAGCCGCGACATCGAGCATGCCGGCCTCCTCGGCCGCCCCATCACCGCCGATGATTCCGACCTGGGCAGCGATATTGACACCTCGGACCTGCCACCGCCTGCACGCAGGTCGCCCATGCGCAACAGCCCGGCCCCCCAACCCGCCCAACCTGATAGCATCTTCGCAACCGAGGGCGGTGAGTCGTCTGGCGCCGGTGGTCAGAACGCGAACCCAATCACTGCTACCGGAGCCATCCGACAATTGTGGGCTGCGGAAGACCCTGCCGGCTTACTCAGACAGATTGATGAAGACTACATCAAGCCCAAGCTACTGCTTCATGGCGACAATAATACACACAATGGGTCTAGTCCGGGTTGATTATAGAAAAGGCCGAGCGGAAATGCATATTGCATTCCCGATCTTGTTACCAGTAAACGCTGAGCGTTAGAAAACCGAGGGATAAAAGGAAGACATGTATCATGCGGCACGCGGAGCCGGTCAGGAGGTATCAATCCCTCTCTGCCTCTTACCGATCCCTCCTCGCATGTCGAGTAGGAATCGCATGCAATGTATGTAGACCTATGTACTATAGTTTATGCCCTGTCTGCGGAAATCTCAGCACGCGGCTTTCTTGGGTCTGCCGTACGTACGGTCGGGTTTTGACTTGGGTCTCGTGATGATGGATAAGCGTCGTTTAAAGTATATTCATGTAACGTATATAACTATCTAGAGGGTTTTCTATTCAAGGGAATTAGATGGGTCTAAGATTACAGCATAGTCGTCTCCAAATTATCGTGAAGCTGTGCCGAAAACGAGTGTTTGAGAGGTGTTACTCCAAAAATACGTACGAGACGTCCATCCCCATCCATACCTTACCTTTTGTAGAAATGTAGGTTGATAAAGGCTACAGCATCTCATTCTCACAATGCATTTTGGATCAATAATCTGATATTGGGAGGAGAGAAAAACATGTTCATTTGCTAGCGAAAGCAACCCAACTAGCAAAAGGATTGATCTTTTCTTTGGTTTTTCTTTCACTCAACCCTCCCATCACTCTCCTGGTATCATATGTTGTGGATGAAGTCTATTTACATTTGAGTTTCTTCGAGCCAAATATTTCTAATTCGCATTTGAGCCGAGGAAAAGCGAAACAACACGATTGCTGATGGACACATAATTCCATGACAATCCGACACGGAGGCTCTCCTTGGCCACCATATTTCTAGGAGTACCTCTTCGTACTCATTGTTTTTTTCTTCTTCCGCAAAATAAAACAAAAGACACGCCGGTTGAGCAATTGCCAAACGGAGAGTGCATATTCAATACTTAATATTCATTAAAACACGGCAAGAGCCGACATTGTATTCATCATGATTGCGTGGGTGCTGAAGGGGTGGCGCCCTCGCTCGATTGCCTATTAAGCGAAGCCTGCGAGAGTTGTCCAGGGCTGGATGCCGCCTGGGCCTGTGCAGCAGCGGCAGCCACCGCGGCTTGTTGTTGTTGTTGTTGTGGTGTTGGGACCTGCTGTGGCTGCTGCTGTTTTTGTTGTTGTAGTTGCTGCTGCTGAGCTTGGAGTTGCTGCTGAGGCGAGTGCTGGGCTTGGTGCTGCTGATGCTGCTGGACCTGAGCCTGCTGTTGTTGTTGCGCCTGCTGGGCCGCCTGCTGGGCCGCTTGTTGTTGCTGCTGCTGTCGGAGCAGAGCAGCGTACTGGTGAGGGCTGGTAGTCGCGGCAATACTGTTGGCAATACCATGCTGAGCACTTCCGCCTGCCGCAGCGCTCATAGCGTTGTTGCGAGCAGTCATCAGTCTCGCAAGGTGCTCCGTTGCCAGCTGCCTTGCCCTCTCGGGAGTGACGTTGGGGTTCTTTGCCCTGATCTGCGCCTCATATTGATTGATTTGGTTGGCAATGGCGGGTGGCATTTGGAAGCCCTGAGACATCGGCCGAGTACCAGGGGAGCCGGCTGCCATCTGCATGTTTGGGCTTGTATGGCCTCCGTTGACGGCATTGGCACTATTAAACTGTGCCATCATGGCCTGGGCACTTAGGAAAGCCTGTTGACTGATCCCGTTAGGAACAGCGACACCGTTAACACCATGCACTCCATTCACGCCATTAACACCTGCGCCATTGACTCCGTTTACCCCGTTCACACCATTCATGGCATTGATTCCATTAACTCCATTCACGCCGTTAACCATGTTAGGGGGGGGTGAGCTGTGCTGGTTCGGGAGATGAGGCGATCCAGCTCCTGCTTGGAGTGGAACTTGATGCTGCGCCTGTTGCATCTGAACCGCTACCCGTTGTTGTTCTGAAATTCGCTGGGCTCGCATCATCATGCTGGCGTCAGGTTGTTGCTGATTAGGCATCTGCATTCGGCCCTGCGCCGCCATGTTCTGCATTTGGGTCTGGGCCAGGTTAGCAGCATTCATCTGACCTGGTGTTCCCATACCCGCAGCCATTTGCGCGGCGCCAGGAGTGCCAGGAGGACCCATGGGGATCCGAGGTCGAGGTGCGGCGTTGGGTGCAGCCATTGCCAAGGCCTGAACAGCAGCAGCAGGTACATTAGGATTAGGGCGTGCAACACCGTTTGGCACATTGGCAGCAGCGGCAGGATGCCCTCCGTTTTGACCAGGTTGAACACCAGGAGTAGCTGGTCGTTGCCCTGCCTGTCCTTGTGCTCGAGACTGCATGAGAGCGGCCTGTGAAGTGTCAGTGATATGAAAACAATGAAAACTAGACAAGCAAGATGTGCTAGCAGGTTTGGAAAAGGATACTTACGCGCCTAGTGGCCTCTTGCCTGTGAGTGAAGGCCGCCATTCTCTCCGCCAATGCTTGGTCGCGCTCCCATCGCAAAAGACTGTAGTCCCTAGGGGTCTTGCTCGGTCCGCCGTTGGGTCCACGCGGCTGCTGTGCCATGGGATCTTGGGGCTTCTTGTTCGCGGCGTTCTGTTGTGCTGCATGTTGTTGCTTCTGAAGAGTGGTCTCGCGCTTCTTGGCAAGCTTCCTCATCGCGTCCAGGATGGTCAGGTGCTTCTGGTTCCTGCGTCTCTCCACACGCACAGGAGTAGATGGCCGTTTCCTAATCGGTGGCACCGCAGCTCCGGCGGCGGTGGCTTGCTGGGCGGCAAGCTGGTTCTGTTGATGAATGACGCGTTGTGCCGCCTCGATCCTAGCATTATATGCTTTGAAATATTGTGTCTTCTGCATGTCTGATGGCAAGCCTTCGAGCTGAATCCATCGTTCGAAACATTCCCAAGGTGTTCGTCGCTCAGCGCCAGCCATGAATAAAGACTTGCTCGTCAGCATGCTAGAAATAAGCGGCCAGTTGTAGGAATATTCCCTGACCCTAGCTCGCAACTCGTCATCCTCTGCCAGTGTCCACATCGAAGGACTACGTGACTCGTAGAAGCTCTGTGATGGCATGGCATGGTCGGTTGGCGGGCGGAATTGGTGGCCCGCGTGTAGTCTATCGCGAATGTGCTTCATCTCGGGATTAAACAGAGCGACCTCATCTGATATCGGGGCCACGTTGACGCGTGCTGATGTGTCCTGAGCCACAAATCCATCATCGCTGTCATCGTCCGACTCCTCATTTCTATAGTGATAACGGCTCCTCTTACGTGGAGGTCCATCCAACGCGAGTTTCATATCTCCTTCGACATACTTGCTAATAGGTACAGCAGGTCGGCGCCAATGAGAGTCGGGGTCGACATCAGGCGCTGTTGGGTCGCCTCTAGGAATCTTGAGCGGGGCACCATACATAGGAAGCTCATCTAATAGTTGATCAGCCACCGGTGTTCTTCTCAGTCCAAAGACCACGTCGTCCTCTTGCAAGGTGAAGATGGCGGATGGTGCTATCGTCTCAGGGAAGAGCTCAGTCAGTTCCTCCACAACCTGAGGCGAGTCGGCGTCACCAGGGATGAGATCTGGTGTCGCCTGGCTGTCTGCAACTTCCGTCATCATCTCGTCTTCAACCGGAGTGGGCTTCGGTGGAATCACGGCCGGAACCTGCATGGCTTTGCGCTCCTCTGGCGAGGATTCGCACCATTCAGCACACGCAATTGCCAGATTTCTAGCAGCAGCCATCTTCCACTTGCGCTCCTCTCGGAAATCAGTTCTCATCCATTTGGCCTCCTGGAGAAGGAGATCCCAGTGAGAAGTCGTCCGGACGGGCTCCTCGCATCGCTTCGGTTGCCTGAGTGACCATTTGTCAGTGGACTGGAGATGATAGACTCGCCGCAAAACTCTGCACGCCTGGTGATCATGGATACAGAGGGTAGCATCGGGTGTTGCGATTGTCTTATTGGCATGGAATAGTTTGTTTTGCATTGGCTGCATCCAGGTCGAACTTCCAGCGAATCCCTGAACGAATAAAGGGGTGAAGTAGTCATCTGACGGCTGGATTGATTCCTTGGAGCTGGGCACCAACTCCTTCTCCTCCACACGCTTCGGCTGTTTGCCAAATAAAACCGCTGAGACTTTCCTATCCTTGCGGGTAGATGAGACACGGCGAGTGCGGGAAAATGAGGATTGGGGTGTGGAGGCCAGAGGCGTCAGTCGGTCTTGAGGCTCCTCGGATTGCGCAGGCTTGTTCACAACCTGTCTAACGGGAGGGTAGCCAACGATTTCACTGACAGACTTCGGTCGCATAGCACCCGATGAGACACGGGTGACTGCCCGCTCTGCCGGTTGAGGGACTGCCTTCTGGATAGGAGCCGCTACTGCAGGTGTAATAGGAGTTATCAGGGTTTCTTCTGACTTCTTGTCATCTGGGACACTTGGTTGAGCTGTTTCAACAGGGCTTTCGGTTGGAGCGACCTCGGCTGGCTCGACTGAATCAACTTCCATCTTCTCGGGCGTAGCTCCCTGACTATCTGGAATCTCCGCAGGCTTCGTCTCGCTTGGTGGAGGAGCTATTACAGGATCCGATTTAGGAGCCTCCGGTTGAGGTGTCGGCTGTTGCTCAACAACAGGAGTTGGGGTCTTCTCTCGTTCAACTTGCGCTGGCGCATCCTCCTTGACAGGCTCGACAATAGGCTCCTCACTAGGTTTAGTTTCTGGAGTTGCAACGGCAGCTGTAGCAGCTGCTTCTGCTTCCGCTGCCGCTTTGCTTGATTGAATGGATTCCTGGAGAAGCTGATCCTCTGCCGACTCAGAGCCTGCCCGCGAATCAGAGACCTCGGCAGGGGGTGGCGTCTTCTCAGGCTGCTCTTTGAGTTCAGGCACGGGCGCCGGCGCCGGCGTGGGCGTGGGTGTCGAATCCTTCTCTTCCTCCTCGGGTTTCGACTGTTGTGCAGCAGGTTCCGGATAGTTAGGGGCCTCGTTCTCCGGGCTTGTATCGGCCGACACATCATGAACAACGGGAGTAGTAGCGCTGGGAGATGTTGATCCAGGCGTCGAGACTGTGTCTGGAACACGAGTCGTATCCGTCGGAGTCTTCACCGTTGGTAAACTGGCGCTCTGTTGAGTTGGTGGCTCGGCCTCCGCCTTGCTGTCCGTAACATCCTTTGATTGCTCTACCTTCGGCGGCGGAACTGGTGTCTTCGTAGGTGGGGGCGCATCCTTGGTGCCTGGAGGGAACGTCACTTGCGCCGGTCGAGGTTGTAGAGCTGGTGTCTGGACTTGTGGTTGCTTCGTGACATCATTAGCAACAGCAGGCGCAGCTTGGACAGGCTTAGTAGCAACTGGAGGTACGGGCGCAATGACAGGCGTAGGTACTGGCGTAGGAACTGGGGTCGGTTTAGGAGAAGGAGTTGGCGCAGCGACGGGCTTCGAAGGTGGCGCTGAGGCTGGCACGGGGATCGGTACGGGCGTGACTGAAGGCACCTTCGCAACAGGCACAGGCACGGGCGTTCGGACCGGTTGTGTTTGAACGGGTAGGACTGGACTCGATTTAGGAACGGGAGGTGATTGCTTCGTCGGCTGCGGCGCAATTTTAGTTTGCTGGGGAGGGATGGGAGGAGCGGAAACAGGGCCAGGCTCGACGGTCGCAGGGGCCGTTGGTGGTGTTATCGGCTTGGTGAATTCCGGTCGCTTTACGTCTTCGCTGGGCTTCTGTTGCGACGGCGCCGGTGACGGGAGGGCTGCGACGGTTGGTCCATAGCCTAGGATGGCAAAGGACTTCCTCAGGACGTCGAGTGAGAGTTGTTGTCGGGACGGGATCGTTTGCTCGTTCAGCTTCTTGCCTCTGCAGCTGCGTGTTAGTGAATCGCGGCATGTGACATGGCTCGCAAACGCGCTCGGGGTTGCACAAAAATCATCTCGACCAATTGCCCGGACGTACTGTGATATTTCGTTTGCCTGCAAGAAGTCCGACTCGGCCTGTGTCGGGGCTGGCGCGTCCGGCTTGGTGAAGGCATCATGCGGGAAGCCTGCGGGCTGTGTCGCGACCGCGAACAACTCGCGAAGCTTCCTCTTCCGCGACGTTACGATTGCACTGAGGCACGTTAGCAGGGCAAAAATCACATCGCTGGCATCGGAAAAAATTGCCCGATCGCATGGTGCGCAACTCACTTGCTCTCATTGCGCTTGGAGTGAAGTAGCCTTGACAGGTCGGTGAGTCCGACCTCACTCATAGCATCGACGGTCGCGACATCCGATTACGGACGAAACGGATAGACCGGGCTGTGCACGAGGGCCGAAATAAATGGGCGAGCACGCGGCGGCGATGGAAATGATGGTGGGTGGTGGTTTGTTGATGGAATCAATTGATTGATATTTTTTTTCTTGTGCTCTCGTCAACGGCAAAAAGGGGACTTGCAGGCGGTTCTATCGCCAGGTGTTAATTTGGGGGGCGGGTTGTATTCGGGTGGTCTTGCACGAGCTGCACAGGGGGGCAAGGGCCGCTGGAAAGTGCTGGCAGATATCTGGGTGCATGTGCCTACTGGCTGTAATGGACGGTAGGGAGAGTCGGGATGGGACATTGGCGGTCCAGAAATTTTCGCACCTACTGCTCCTCTAGTGCCCTTGCGCTTGCACCTGAACGGAAGAAGGGGGGAGGCGAAGGCGGTGCAGCACCGCTAGACCGTCCGTGGAGGCTGCAATATTATTCCTGGCCAGACGCACGCGCAGAGAGGGGAAGGAGCTGCCTGATCCCCACGCACGATTCCAGTCACCATTGCGTAAGAACACTGTGCTTTTGGGGAGCCCGTAGTGCACTGTGGCTGCTGCACACCCCATGCAGCCTTCTGTTAGGCTGGTAGCGTCATCCGCTGCGCACTGTAGATCTATCCATCTACACGTAATCCATCTGCTCCCTGCCGTCAATAGAGTTTTGTCTAGTCCTGAACGCAACGAGCTGCGAGTCGGGGCAAAATGCACAGTGTGCCAGCCCGCTGCTTTCGACTCAGCTCCTTTCCGCCCGTCACATTTTTCAACAAGGGTGGATCCAGGCGGCATCCACACCTGGCCGCCCAACAAACAATCCATCACACCCACACACTCGATGCATCGGGTCATGGTGGGAAGGGCACCAGCCAGAGAAACAGGTAAAACACGCACAGAACAGGAAATCATTTTTATCCAAGTTACATTATCGAGCCGAATAAGTACTGACCAAGATTTCTTCCCGTCGCATGCGCATACATAGCCGCGACATTCGATCCCAAATTTGCCAAGAGCGTTTATCGCGATCTATGCAGGAAATCAATTAAATTTTTTCCTTCGGGACGGATCTTGTAGGCTCCGGCCAAAGTCGCTTGGAGCAAAATTTTGTCTTCCGAGACATCATCGTAAGCTGATCCAAGGACGCCCCACTGTAATTGTGCACTTGTGCAGACCGCCGTGCCACACCCAAGTGCATATCTCTCTACCTAGCCACATGCACCAGCCACATTACGTTATGCCTTTCCAGGCACCAAGCATTCGAGATCTCCAACCCTCGTATATCCTCCATCCCCATCACCCTTCCCAACAACGCGAAGAAAATGAGTGACCCGACCAAGGGCAGAATAGCCATCAAACTGGGCGGGGGCCCAAGTCTCTCCTCCTCCAAACCAAAGCAGCAGCCCCCATCCACACTCGGCAAACGCCCCCGACACAGCGCCTGGTCCGGCGGCGGCGCAGACGACGAAGACTCGGATGCCGACGACAACAGACACAGCGGCAAGCACGAAACCATCACGGGCTTTGGCGCCGACGGCGCAGAGACGGAGAGGTCGAGGAAACGCGCTACAGAGAAGAAGGAGTATATCATCGCCCCGCAGGCCAACCGGGACTGGAGGACGGAAGCCAAAGCTCAGAGGAGGAGCAAGAACCCTCTCCCTGGCACCGCGAGATCGAATGGGCATGGGAGGCCCGAGACTGAACCCGCTGATCAGGACAAGCCCGAGATCAAATGGGGCCTGACCGTGAAGGAACGCAAGCCCGAGGACGAAGAGAACCCATCGGCAGACAATGAGGACCCAGCCAACGAGAAGGAAAACGGAAAGGAACAGGAAGCGCCCAAAGAAAGAACCGCCGATGAACAAGCGATGGATTCGCTCCTCGGCCTAGTTCCCGAAAAGACTCAGGTCATCCCCTCTGAAGCAGATGCTTTCCAACGCGACATGGATGCCGCAGGTGAGGTATCTACTTTGGCGGACTACGACGCTATGCCAGTCGAAGAATTCGGTGCTGCTCTTCTACGAGGGATGGGATGGGATGGGTCTGACAAAGGCCCAAAGGTCAAACAGGTCAAGCGACGGCCAAACAGGCTTGGACTGGGAGCCAAAGAACTCAAAGAAGCAGAGGATCTTGGTGGCTGGAATCAAAATGGCAGCAAGAAGAGGAGCAGGCCTAGATTGGACGAATACCGCAGGGAGGAGAACAGGCGGAAAGAGAGCCGAAGAAATGAAGATAGTTACAAACGCGAAAGAGAGCGAGAGAGGGACCGAGACAGAGATGGGGGCAGGCACAGAGATCGTGACAGGGATTATGATCGACATCGAGACCGACATCGCGATCATCGAGACAGGCGGTGATGGCGAACCGTTCCAATGACAGTCATGCATCCGTGGCAGCGATTATCAGCTTGCAGGGGCCGGAACCCAGACAGCAAAGAAAACTTTGCAGGCATCTATTTCACGTTACTCGGCTGGGCGCGCGGCTTCCAGCATCTCATTATCGTACATTCATCGATATAATAATACCTAAAAAAAAAAACTCAAAACTCATGAACCTTACGCTAACCCATAATTCTAGATGATCCCTTTCCAATCAAGATTTGATCGATTCGTTGCTCTCCCTTTCTTCAACTTCAGTATACCCTGCGTGGGTGATCGCTTGAGCTCTTGTCCTTCTTCTCTTCAACATCTCGCCGACACCATGTTGTCTTCATGCCATCAGGACCAAGTATGTTTTCCAGACGCTCACCCTTCTTCAGCGCCCGCAATGCGCCTTTCGCAGTCTCGACGTCCTCAAAAAGGGTGCTTGTATCGAGGAACACTTTGTCAATTTGACCTGCCAAGCCTCGTCTTTGTGCATGCCGACTTATCGCATCAGACAGCTCCCGCATCACATGGCACCCTTCTATAACTTCTTGCTCAAGTTTCTGTCTCTTATCGGGGGCCAACGAGTAGAATTCCCTCTGACCCTGTGTGATGCGTGCACGTCGGATGAAATGAGTGGGACGTTTCTTCCTCTCCGCCTGCTTTACGAGGCCTTTCAGAGTGTAACTAAAAGGTCCCACGATGGCTGCCAAGTTCTTCAGGACGAACCCAGTAAGGCCCATACTGGTGCCTTTGACGAACCCAATCACGCCGTTTTTCTTGGCCCCACGGATGGGGAGAAGAACCACGCCGGTAAAGCCATCATATATCCCGTACAGAAATTCTTTCTTTGCAGCACGTAGACCCGACCGAATTCCCGTGATACGAACCGGTTTGCGGACGGTGTCGTCCCCATAGAGTCGGGGAGCATTATGAAAGCCTTGTGCCAATGCAACCGAGAGATCCACTGGTGCCCTCGCGATAGCTGAAGCCGTGATGCCGACTCCTTCTCTGACATCTCCAAAATAGGCAGCATGAAGCTCGGTAGCAGGCGTCTGAGCCAACTCTTCCGCTCGAAGAAGGTCTACACTCGCAACACCTCGCGGCGAGTTTTCCACATTTCCGATGGCAAGATCCTCTGTCCGGCTTGAATCTGGAAGGTCGCCCTTAGACTTGGAATTTGCTCTTCTCTCTTCTCTCATCTTTTTTCTCCTCTTTGTTCTCCGTGCAAGGTGGAAAGGGACACCTGCTACACCTCTGAACGCATTCCGAGCTGAACCAACCAATGAGCCAGCGACACCGGTGACAGGCTCTCCGGGGCCTTCAAAATCATTCCATTCAACGTGCCGTACAAGCCGTAACTTCTTCCAGCTAAGGTGCCCTGCATCAACCAGGATATCTGCAGCCAGGGGTGATAATTTGATTGGCGTATTCTTCAGCTGCCAGACGGCAATCCGGTCCTTGAGTACCGAGCATCGCATCGTATTTCGCCCTTGCAAATTCAGGCGATTGTGGAATGCCCGTACTGCATTCTTTGCCCCGTCACCTTCTCTCTCAATGCCGTTGGCAATTTCACGGGCTGCTTCTCTCGCTTCATCGGTCTGCAAATATCTTATGCCCTGAGACAAGTTCTCTGCAGTGAGGTGCCTATAGGGAATAGGCTGCGGACCTACTCCAGACCTGGCCACCATCGATCCCCAGAAGATTTGATCTCCAAAGAATGGTACAACCATGGTTGGAAGGCCGCATTTGAGAGCTATCGCAGTTGTTCCTGCCCCTCCGTGAATAACGCACGCCTTCACCTTTGGAAACAACCAGTCGTGAGGTGTGTTGTCCAACATGAATATATTCTTAGGAACTCGAGCGCTTCCTAAGCCTCCCCATCCTCGCGAGACAAGTGCCCGCACCCCGGCTTTCTCGACAGCCTCGAAAATAAGTTCAGTGAACCGTTCAGCATCATCCACCACGATCGAACCGAACCCAATATAGATTGGTGTTTCCCCTGAGTTCAAGAACTCTTCGAGGTCCGGTGGCGGAGTGAATGATGAAGCCAGGTCCAAATATACAAACCCCGAAATGTTGATATGATCCCCCCAGTCCGCTGGTTTGGGGATGAGTCCTGGAGACCAGAGGTAGGTAAATGGTACATGCAGTCTGTACGTCTCTCCAGGTGCCCACAGAGTTGATACAGGGTCCAAAGCTAGTGTTTTGACACGAAAGTCGTTCACCAGATCCCCAAGGCCTTGCCAAACCATCATCTCTACCAGTGGATAAGAGATGAAGTTGGTATAGCCCGGGTCAATGTTAGATCGTTTGATGCTAACGAGCGGGTGGGGGAATGCCTGAGTAGGAGAGTAAGGAAAGGTAAACATTAAATGGACAGGAATTCCCAAAGCTTCAGCACAATGGATGTGAGCAAAGCTCGGCGGGTTGGCAATGATGGCGTCAGCAACAAACGGATCCTTCGCACCCATCATCTTGAGATTTTGGTAATCTTTTTCATCGTCGGTCGCGTTTATACAGGCTCTCCAGAATCCGTCAAACATCTCTGCCATGGCAGCCCTTCTCTTTCCGATATCTCCAGCTCGGACGGTTTCAAGAGTCGGGATCAGACCAGGATTCTTGACCATGAAAGCCATGAGTTCGGATGGATCTCCACCAACAGAGAAGAACTCGAGTCCCGAATCCCTTTGGACATATTCTCGAAAAGTGGGATGGGTTGCAATGCGGACCCTGTGGCCATAGTCCTCTTTCAAAATCCGCCCTATTTTCAAAAATGGCTGCACATCTCCTCGTGATCCGATCACCATAATGACTATGTTCAACCTTGGCCTTGGAGAGAGGTCTGCAGAGGCAAAGGTTGAGTCGGAGGAGAGCCTGTGACTACTAGGCCGTTCCTTTTCCGTCGTTCCGATAGGCGGCGCTTTGTTGACGATGGACCCGAGGGCCTTGGCGATATAACCTGTGCCTGCCGTCTCATTGACACTGATCCGCAGTCGCCCGTCCTTCTTCACTTTGCCCTTGCTTTGATAATTTTTGTTACCAACAAGAAATCGACGATAGCGGTTCTCTGTGTCTGCATCATCATCAAGGAGGGCATATTTTCTTTTTTCTTCCACATTGCTATGTGAACGGTACTTGAGCAACTGGGACTTGAGCTCGTTGTCAATCTGGGTTTGGGTGCGTCTTAAGTTGCCCGGTGCCGGTATTACGTCCTCATCTTCGTCTGAAGAGGAGCTCGACGCATACTCATCATCGCATCGCTGCCATATAGCAGTGCTCAAATATGAATTTCCGGAGCGTTTGGGCGGCGATAGTGGTCGAGCTGCCTGGTCCGCCTCGCTGCTGGTCCTCCCCAGCTCCGTCTGCCATCTCCTCTGTGAAGGTCGAACGGGCACACGTCTTGGTGAAACGGCAGTTGCAGCCCGTTCTAACGTTGAAAACTCAGTCATTAACTGCTGCGGCTGTGATGGACCATCAGATTCGCCTCGGGTTTTGGGGGGCCTAGCAGTAGGGCTTCCATTCTTTGAAGATTGATTTCCAGGTACTTTAATATCAGGGACTGTAGTCGGTCCCGCCTGTGGCTCGAAGTTTGTTCGGGCAACGTCGTTACCACTCCAGAAAACAGACGCATTCCTCTCCATCACAGCGGCAGGCAACCTTTCAGCTGCATCTGAAACCGACACATCGTCACCATTGTCGCGACCGTCATCAGAGTGCCCCATGCTTGTAGTGTGTCGACCCAGTGAAACACTAGCCTAGATGTGTAGGCAACAGGGCGGAGAGTCGCGTGGAGCGTCTTGTACCAAAAGTCGAAAATGGCCGGAATGTGGTGGCTGGCAGTAAAGAATCAATTGTGTAAGTCGCAAGTAGTTGAACAGGGAAGAACCAGCACTCCCGAGCATGTCATCAATCCCATGCTACGAGGGAGCCGTCAGTAGCCATTCATAGGTGGTCATATTTCGGTGTAGAAATGGCAAGAAGACAAAGGCGACGTGTTTTAGTTGCATCATGGATTATTGGGCGGGCTTTATACAATGAAATACCTGACCCTGAGTCGCGCCTGTCTTGTGTCGCCCATCGATTCGATAAGTGACATCACCAGTCTGGACTCCCGGCTCCCCGCCAAGGCAAGTCCACCCAACCACTTGCCAGCAGCACCTGCCCTGTCAAATCTCCTAACTTTCTAATACAGGCCACGGCATTGATTGATAATACCTACCTAATCAATAAGAACACAATTATTGAACCAATATTAAGCGACATCGTCTACGTACTATCACACAATAAGAACAATAAGAAGTATTTTGATATGACTGGCTACCGCAATTATTCTTTTGAGGTGACTTTGCAGTCCCTGTTATTCTGACACCCACTTGCCTGTCCCCTGCATCTGATCTACCTACCGTGCAGATGGACTCCGATGAGCCGACACCGACAGTTGCAATCACATGAACCATTTTCCTCCTTCATTTTCGCATCGATATACCAACGAGATGCCAGAATATTCCATTGCCTAGCTTGAAATCAGAGAAAGCCCATCTTCAGACACCTTGCACACATAACGTCCTTGGCGCCCAACTTACAAAGCTGCCCGCTAGTCCGTGACTCAGCACACTAACAAAGCTTCCACCGGGCCGGACGGTCCCCCAGAAACGCTTCAATCCCTAAGGGGTTCACGGAAGTCCGGGACCAAAGGCGAGCGAGGCAGGCCCATCGCTGTGAAAGACTAGCTTTGCGCTGGGGCATTTGGTCGCCTGACCTCTTGCCTTGTCCCGACGCACCCGCATTCCAAATCCACGGGCTTCGGCTTCCCTGGGCAAGTCCGAAAAGAAGGCATTCACGATAACTCGTTCTGAATAATTCGCACATTCTAAGAGATGCGAGACGCCGACCGAGCGGGCTTAACGCGCGCCGGATGATCGGATAGTTAAGTCCCCAGGGTATCAGGGCCAACTTCACAAGCCTCACGGGATCAAGCTCAAGTCTTTTAGTAAACAATCATCACCGCCAGAAGAGTGGACGTAAATTTCGCGTGCTTCAAGACCTGCTTTCACTCGCCTAGATGCTTACATTACCCGTACATCGTGTGTTAGAAGACCAAACCCCGCAAGCAAAATAGCACCTTTCCTGTGGCATAACTCATCGCAACTGAAAACCCAGCCGCATCATCCTGACCAAAACAAAACACTAATCACACTTCTTTTCCCGCAAGGCGAGGTAGAGACCGGCCGAAAGAATAGTAGAAAATGGAGGGGAGGGGGTGGGGATGGAGTAGAGGTAATAAACCCGTTACTGGAGAGGGATTCTCTTCAGAGTGTCCGTGAGGATCTCCAACTGCATCTTGGCTCCCAGGCCAGACACCTCTGTGTCTTCAATCTCCTTCTTGTCCAGCGCTGACGACAGAGCTTCGGTGGCCTGGATGAGAGGGGTTACATACCGGTGTTCCACAGCAGCTGCCATGCCCGCCGGAGCAACATCATGGAAGTCTTTGCCACTAAACAAGAACAGGGCAAAGTTTGCCACTTGAAAGTGGAAAGCCGAGTTCTGAGCCCAGAAGGACCATAGCTCAGAGCTGTCCAAACTATTGAGTGATGTCAAGTCTGGGAAGACTGTGTACTGGAGCTTCTCAAAGCACTCGCTACTGCCAAAGATGCTCTTGGGTGCCTCTGGCTTGCGCGCCGTAATGATTTCCTCGCGTAGCCAGGTAACGGCACACGCTTGTAGTGCAGAAAAGATGCAGTTTTCCATGAGATCTTCCAGGATTGTCAACCGGCTGTTTTCGTCTGGATCGGAGTGGAGGACAGAGCCTGCCAGTGTCGTAGCAGTGTTGCGCACCCGGATGTTGGGGTGGAATACGGAAATAAGAGTTACCAAGTGATGATATTTCATCACATTAATGTTGGCAGCATCCTTTTCTCCATCTGTTGGGAAGATGCCCTGGTGTGCGTCAAGCCAGACCGCAATCACAGTAAGGGCCTCGAAAGTGCCTGGGTTGCCCTGGATCTCCCCCTGGGCGTCATCTCCAATGAAATTCTGGAGGAGTTCTTGGTGATGGGGGAAGATATTCATCTTGACATTCTCGTGCTGCGCGTCGAAGACATCAGTAGTGACCATCCAGTAGGCCGCCAAGCAAACTAGGCCCGCAGTTGACAATTGGACATTTTCGGGATGGTCGGCGTCCGTATCGTCGACGGACAAGGGTTCTCGGCTAGGCTCAGAAGCGAAGATTTGATGTACCTCCTCAACTGGGAGCTTGGACAGACCCAGATCGTCGGCAACTGACTGTGGTGGTGTTAGCCGGTTTCAAAACCACATCTACCTCGTTGAACGTTTGAGAACATACGGCCAGCTGCCCGACAAGGGCGTCCATTGCTTTCAGCTCAGCCACCTCGTTGAAAGACTTTGTCATGGATCTGCGACTCAATACCACCTTCTCGGGGTAGGTGTATTCGAGAAGTCTCGAAGCCCATTCCAAGCTGTTTGAATTCACGTATGTATCAATTATGCATGTAATGAAAGACTGCAGCAGGCGATTGATAAGCTTAGGTTCAGAGGGGTTCATCTTGTCTGAATCATCAGCCTCTGGATCAGGTGCGGTTTGCGAAGGGTCGGTCGATTGGAAGGGTGTTTCGAGCATCGTGCTCGACTGGCGGGTGGGAAGTGGCGGTCGCTTGCTCGTCGAAAGCGACCGAACAAAATCAATCACGGCGACGGTGGATTCAGGGCTCGTCGGGTCGTATGCGCGGAGGACGGTATCGAGTGTGGTGTGGAGAAATCGAGAGGGCGATCTCACTTGCAGACGCCCATGGAGGATCTTCAGCATGCCCACGAGGGCAATGAACTTGTCGGCGCCATTTACACCCGAATGAGGCTGAACCTCCTTGCCCTCCTCCTCTTGCTCGTTCTCCTTGATAGCAGCTGCAGCTGTCTTGTCCATCACCTCCAGCACCTTCAGAATGACTTCCCGGGGATTGCCCAGGCGGGCAACTCTCTCCAGACATCCAGCACTGCCGGGGACAGAAATCAGCATGTCAACCAAGTCCCACCCAATGTCATTGGTGAGCTCGGAATCATCGAGGATCTCTTCCAAGGTAGGCAGAATGTCTGGGGTCAGCGACTTCTCAATGATGGTGAGGTACGTGAAGGCGTCGGTGGCCGGCGGCCGCGACTCCTTGAGCCTCTGCACGACCTCTTCGGTGGGGGCCATTCCGAACGATGCTTTGGCGGTGGACAGTGATGGTGATGAGAGAAAGAGGGGAGAGGAGAGCTGGAGGGACGGAGGTGTGGTGGAATGATGGAGCTGGCGGGTGGGATGACCGGCTGCTGGAGCTTGGGCTGTGCTTTGTCTGCGATGTTTCGTCATGGCTGGACCCCGCCCCCACCAACCGCCACCAACCGCCGCACACAAGCTTTGTGCTAATGCACGTTCCCCTCCTGCAGGACAGGCTACCCTGGACTCAACGTCTCGACCTCTTACCCAAGTACCTTTTATCCTCGATGCAGCTTGAGACCGGCTATTTCCAAAATTGATAAGAAATTGCTTATATTCCCAGTTCATATTAGAATCTTCCCCTATCTTACTCCACGTATCAGAGTGCAATCGCGTAGCGCATGAGGCATCATTATGGGGGGTGCATAATAGACAAGCGGTAGTGAAACCTACGGCTGTCCTGGAAGAGGGGAAAATCCAAAGCGTGTGCAAAACAACTAGGCCTACTCTTGCAAGCCGATAACAGGAGGAGGAGCGTAAGAAATCATTTGACAAGAATTGTTTCACCTCAAGTACCGCCCCTTTCAGTTGCGCTATGGCGAAAGCATCCGGGTCCATCATCGATTGAAGGCGAACCGCCCCTCCTTCAAGCTCATGACCCCCTCTAGCCTGGAAACAAAGGCTAATTTAAGGTACCTAGTAGCACAAACTAACTCTAATGCAAGCACCTATTGTCGCTGAGGTATAGGTAAGGTAGGTAAGTAAGACCTACATCGACAGTGACGGCCGAGGTCTTGGGATAACTCTGATTCACCAAGGGAACAAACTTGCGTCTCATATTATCCAAATATGGTGCAACCAGGACTAAGAAACCTCTGCTGCCCAGCCAAACTCCTCCCCCCTCACCACAAGCAGACAACACATCCTCCTCAACCAGCTTGCCCCTCACTTCCCCCAGCCGCCCCTCCTCGCCTCGACAGCGCCAGCCGGCCCGCCACCTCCGGCACCGCTCGGCTCAAACAGTAATAGGTACTCGTTGATCGAGTTCATTTGCTCTTGGGTTTTTCAGACCTCGCCCAACGAGTTCACCGTACACGGGGATCTTCATTCCCAGAGTCAGTGGTGTGAGGCCGCAGCATGCCCGGGCAAGATCTGTGAACCTAACAACAGCGCTCGGACTGACCTCAACTGGCACAGCATCATCTACCTCCAAAATTCATTCAGTTCTGAGCTTTGCTAGCAGCGCAGCGCGCCTCAAGCTCTATAAGTCTCACTGGTTTACGCACATGATGTGTTTGGTTCTTCTACTTCGAGTGTCTGACAAACCTGCAAAGGTAATCATGTTGAACGCAGCTGTGAGTGATGCGTAGAACGAGGCCCAGCCAGCCGAGTCTGCCTGGAAGAATATCCCCGCCGGGCGGCCCATATAGTTACTTCCTAGGACGAGGGAGCTTTGCAGAGGGACATACGTCTTACTCATACCCTTCACGTCCAGCTGGACCTGTGTTCGAAAGCAACGAGCATTTATCTAATACAATCATTATCTGCTGCCCAACCAAGGCTTCACTCAAACACGGCTAGTATTCCCCCATACGATGAAAACCCACATAAGAAACAAACCTCCAAGAAACAAGAAATAAAAAAGACAAACATTTGTTATTATAGACGCCCTCCCCCAAATCCCCCGCCATCATCAACCCCGTTCCTCTGGTATATCCCGTCCTACCACTAAAAACCCACTACCAAAAACCCACCATCTCTCCTCCACAACAATACAAACAGCCCTTTATACACTACTATCCCCCTCACCACAAGCCGACAGCACATTCTCCTCGACCAGCTTTCCCCTCACCTCCCCAAGCCACTCCTCCACCCCTCCTCGCCTCGGCAGGGCCAGCCGGCCCGCCACCTCCCGCACCCGCTCGTCCCCGCCCTCCGCGGGCACCGTCCCGACCGCCCTTTTGTCCCTGACTGCCTCCTCGACAGCCGCCCACGCCCGCCGCGGCGCCGAGTAGTGCAGGCTGGCCCCGTCCATGTGCACATGCAGCGCCGAGCCCACTGCCCCCCCGCCGTGGTCCACGAAGATGATGGCCTGCCCGGGTTCGTGGAGCAGGCACTCGTAGTAGGTGTAGGTGGCGGCCATTCTGGGAGATGAAGAGGCTGGTTGGTGGGGGATCCTCCCTTTGTATAGGAGTATGGACAGGTTGATGTTGAAGAGGGAACGGCGTCTGTGGCGCTTGCGGACCTTTCTAAGTAGGATTCTGTTGATGAGCATGCGGAGGTGCTGGACTGCGATCATGGCAAGTCGGAGAGGGAGAGTGGGCGGGGGGGTTGATAACCCGGCTGGCGATATGCCTGCGTATTGAGGTGACGAATGCTTGTGGCTGTGAATTTGCGAAAAGGAGCTCCCCATCCATCGCTTCCGGGAGAGGCGGCGCTGTCTATCAGCAGGAGCAGGGTGACGGCTGGGATGGCTCGATCTGGAATACGAGGAGTGGTTTCTTACGGCCGGACCTCATGGGTCGAGGCGGCAGAGTCGTACTCTTGTTAGCCAGGCGGGGATCTACACGGTACTGGCCGGCACCGCGCAATCCGCGCCGGTGAACCCGCCCCTCGCCAGAGATAGCGAGAGACTTTTTTCATGCGGAAGATGGATGCGGGAGGTTACTCGAGGTTGTGACGGCGATCCCTGACGGGGAACACAGATGAAACGACGCTCCACGGGACGATGGGGAAACTAGCTGACCACCTCTCACAACCTAGTCGATAGTGATTATCAATTAACTAGATACGTACATTGGATTATCTCGTATTTCCCTGTACATTGTGTACACGCGTACACGCGGTGGTATATGTGTTCAGAATATGAATGGTTGCTTGATCCAAAAACGCCGGGAAGAATCGATTCCATCCCCAACACCACCACACAACCCGAGATATCCGAACTAACCAGCCAGCCAATGCAATAGACATAAGGTGTTCGTTCGGTCATACTTACATAGTGATACATGCCCCCCGGACCCTCCGTGGGCTTCGTATAGAATAAAGACATTAGGATCGATAATGTACAGACAATAAGGAAATGTTGTTTTGCCTGTCAAAGGCTTAAACTCTGGGGCTTGCTCTGGACCCCTTGGGTGAACTTCGTGTAGGCCATTGCCACTTAGCTTTGGGATCGTATCCATTCCCGGTCAGCTTTGTGCGCAAGGCTTCTGATACAGATATGGGCTCGTCCATTGGAACCAGGTGTGGATGCGCATGGTATGGTAGCACGGACCGGAGAGACCTCTTGCTCAGCGCAGGCGTTGGTTTCTTGGGAGCTAATGCAAGTTCCAGCTTGCGCTTGTCCCTGACCATGTCCTTGAGCTCCTGTTCATCATTGATGATCTGCGCTTTGATAAAGTCTGGGCTTTCGCCAGAGGCATCTTGAATCGCCTTCATAACGGGGACTCGTGGAGTGTACTCGATACCGTCAAGTTTTGGTGCATGTGGCGCACTAGGAACAATGGCTGGATCCAATCTTGCCTCATCTCCTTTGCCTAGGAGAGTAGCGATATCGAGACTCTCTCCCGGGGCAATGGGATCGGCGTGACTTGGAGTTATGCACTCCATGTCCACCTCTTTGCGCAGAACGTGATCGATATCGACAGCTGAGAAGTAGGCGCAGGACTGGGGGAGGTCGTCAATGCCCACCTGCTGGGCAAACATGGCACGTGTCCAGACGTTGGCCACCTGAAGAGCCATGCTGGCACGATATTTGTCTTCCTCCTTGACCAGGTAGCGAATCTCATCATGCACGGTGATGGATACTCGTGCATCGATATTGAACCGACGGATGAGATAATCCATAGCCACAATGAGAAGATGAAGATAGTCTACGCCAGAGGACTGGATTGCCCAGTTGATTCGAGACGTCAGGTAGCCTCCCTTGTTGACAAAGCGGCCCATGAGCGCCTCGGTGATACCTGCGCCGAGCACCGGCGTTCTGGGTGTTTCCTGCTCGGCAAACTCTTCGAGCTTGTTGAAAACAAAAGACTCGGTACCACCACGCCAGAAAGGCTTTTTATGGATGACCTTTCGTGTGGTCTTTGTGCCTTTGGTCGTGGCGTACAGCTTCGACGCCGTCTCCATCGTTTCCTTCTCAGAAAGCCCCGGGTTGAACTGTCTGAGGAGGGTTGCGGCGAACTTCAATCCAGCACCGTAGATGCGCCCATAATTAAACACCTTGGCATCGTTTCGAGTGATACCTAGGATCGATGCGGTGCGCGAGTGGAGATCTGTTCCGGCCGCTTTTGTCCCCTCCAAAGTCATAAAACCGACTGCATTGCCTCCATGGAGCTTGAAGGTCGCATCACCCACTAAGCTCGCAATCCAAAGCTCTTCAGAGTCCACATCGGCCCCGACAAAGCAGTATCCAGCAGGGGCCTTGACCATTGCCTTTAGCTCTGACCCAACTCGGTTCTTCTTCGCATTGCTTGCAGTGAGCCAAGTGTTCTCGACTGCTCTTCGCGTGATCGTACCCATTGGGATAACCTGTGGCAAGATGTACCCTCGGCCCAGCTTTTCCGCCTCCAGAGTCTTCTTGCTCTTGCGGCCCCGTTTGGCAGGAATTGATTTTTTACCTGGTAAGTCTTCATCGTACACTACCATTTGTGACATGATGCGGTCTCGTGCACTGATCCAGTAGGAGCAGGACGCATTCATCTCCAGAGCCTCCTTGGCGTACGGGTATTCCGATGATAACGTGCCATTTTCAAAGTAATTGAGATATCCCTTTGCCATCGGATTTACGCATCTAGCAGAAGGACCGTCTTTATGTGGAAGCTTGAAATAAATATGGTTCCAGTCGTCCCGCAAGGCCAGCTCTGATTCATCAAATTCGCATCGGATCATTTGTTTTTCGACGTACTTGGCAGCCGCCAATTTAGGAACTCTGAAGGTCCAGCCGTACTTGTCCGACCAGAATAATGGATTGCCATCCCACGCTAACTTGAGGAGTAGCGGCGCAATCCTCGTCCGGACTGTGATATTGATCGGGGCGTCATTTTTTGCAAACAAGTCCTTGTACCACTTTGGCATTCCCGGCTTCTTCTGTCTTGCTGCAGGCCTGGGCGGGTCGTTCTTTCGTTTCCCCTTTACCATTTTGATTTCTTGGCCAGACCAATCCAGCTGCTTCATCCACGGGTCGTTTTGCCAGACATCCGGTTCCTCCTTCACCTCCAATGCTTTGTTCGTAAGCCCGATTAGCCTCTCTAGAACCGCCTCATTTAGCCTTTGGTATGTGGCTTCGGCGTTTGCAATGTATGAATCCCAAGACTTATTAGTTGGGAGAATGACTGATGACAGATGGCGCAGCGCAGCAAAGCTGACCGGATGAGGACAGACCTCAAGGAAATTCGGGAAGACAACTTGATAGACTCGGTGGGTGATTGAAACATCCGCGGCGCAGTAATCCATTAACTCTTCCAGCTTGGCCAGAATCCCGCTGCGGTCGAGCTCCGCAAAATCATCTCTCACGGCCTTGTCGAGGGACACGTTGAGATGAAATTTGGCGACATCTCGAAGGGAATTGACAGAGCTCCTCTCGACCCAAAGTTCCTCTTCATCATGAGCACCTTGGCTGCTCAATAATTCTGCAAGGCCGTGATCCTCCGTCTGGCTAGCAACACGTTCTCGGAGCTCACGGTTCTTCTTATGCTTCATCCAGGTTGGTCGCTGTTGGGAGCACATGCCGTTGACTGCAACGTGCAGCGACATGGTGTCCAGGAAGGCGTTTCGGCTCTGCTTCAAATCGTACTCCTCCAGGATGCGCGCTCGATCGAAACCGATATTGTGCCCAACAATAATCCGGTCATTACCCGGGTCGCCCAGTGGGATCAGCTGCTTCTCGTTCGTCGTCTCACCCAATAGCCAGGGTGATAGCCAGGCATACCAAGCCGTAGGGCTGGCAGCACAAGCCATGACAGCAAAGGGATTGTCCTTCCACATGACCTCAGTATCAAAACATAGCATGTTCTCATCCGGCGCATCAACCTGCTCGGTCCTGCCGTCTGGGTAGTATTTCGTCCAACCGCTGCGCCTAACCCATTTTCGCGGTTTGGGGGGAGGGTTCGCTCGCGCAAATTGCTTCGCATATCCAAGGAAGGGCTCGGCGCAATCTGTACCGAGCCTGAAAAAATGTTCGTCGAGTGTGCGTCCCTGCAGCGGGGGGAGATCGAAAGCTATAGGTTCGGAGCTGTCGGTATTCTTGCCTAGTAAGTCATGCCGGCGCAGATGATCCTTGGACAGCTCTACGAGCTGCTCTGGAGGGGGCTTGCACCCATCGGGAAAGAGTTGTTTGAAGACATGAGCACTCAAGTGCTGGACACCGATCTCACTGAAGCGTGCTTCGGATTGGACTAGAGAGAGTGACGAGAGTTAGCGAGCCGAGGAGATGGATGCGCGGGGGTCGTGGCAGAGATGGCACGTACGAGCTAGGCTCTTGTTCTTTCGAGAGGATATATTCTTGGCGACGGTAGCCAGGCATCTCGTGTGTGCCCGCAGCGCATGGGGACGAAATGCTTGATGTCGAGCGAGACGGACGAAGCTTGCCGGGGATCCGCGCTGGATGTGGCAAGTCGTGGAGCTCAACATCGTTTAGATAGAGCGCCGCGACATGCCTGTAGCCGCGACTTTGCGCAATGGCTGAGTGTGTTATTTCGACAATGGTGGATATGGTTGGTTGATGCTCGAGTCAAGGCATGTACCTTTTGGATGGACTTGGGGCGGAAGAGTTTGTGCAGGTGGAGGCCTGTGATGTAGATTAATAAGGGGCCAAGGGTCTGACGACGGTGTCTACAGGGGACGGTTAGTGGGGGTGGGGGATCTTATCGCCGCATCCAGCAGCATTCGCATTTCGCAGTGGGCATCATCTATTCCGTTTATAATGTCTGAGTACTGGGGGTAGGCATGATCTAAGGACCTAGTGTTGAGTCTAGATAAGAATCTCAAACAATTGATGTCATGGTAATGGGAAGTAGTATGTAGTGGCTATGTGCGATTTACTCGTATATTTGCACTCTGACCCGACGTGGAAGCATCACAGGCAGGCTGCCGTCCTGAATGAACCTGAAAACTTGCAGCAGGTAGCCTGCCTAATCTTTTATCCTGGCATCGACGACACTTTAGAGACGCGAAAGATTACATCCAAGGCCCCTGCCTTTAGCCATGTGCCTCTCCGGGACATGCTCATCATTTTGGCACTCGCGGACACGACTATCACGACCATGCTTACCCTCTGGCCAAACTGCTAGAGAGATAATGGCCCGGGGATATCATGTCAACGACGCTCTTTCGTTCCGTCATTCAATCGAGTGACAAATACAGCAACAAGTTCTAAACCGCGGGCATTCCAAGCATGAAGCCATCATCATTGGCTGGGAACAGCCCGTATCCATTTATTCGTTCGCCTCTGTTTCGCGATTAGTCAGGACCGTAACCTTGAACTTTGGTTGGGCGCTGCTGCCATTGCCACCAATGTGTACGGTGCTGGTCGTCAGCCCATAAACAAGGCTGCCATCTACCTCCCCGGCAGGAGGAATGGGCAGGCATCTCTCCGACAGATGATATTTCCCTGCAGCTGGATCCAGACGCTTGGAAGAGAGTCAATTTCTGACCCTCGATGCGCCCCCGTTTCCGTCTTGCTGCCACCACTGTGCTCATAACCACCGAGCAGCCATCGGCAGTGATCATCTGTTAGTGCCTCTGCCGCTCCTCAACCGACGCTCAACCCGCCCTCAGCGGCAGGCAGCACGTGCTGACTGCTCGCCCAGCTGCTTGAGTGTTCGAAGCGAGCCTCGATCTTGACCAGACAAGCCATCGCCGACGACCTCTCGCACGCTCTCGCCATCCCCGTGTGCTCGTGCTCGTTGGCTGCGTTGCTTGCCGCCAGCCCGGCCTCGACAAGTTCGACAGCTTAACCTACAGATAGATCAGATGTCCTCGTTCGCCGCACCGTGCGGTCCTTTCTGCACGGATCAACTGCACAACCACTCCTACCACTCGCACCGCCTTCACCATCACCACCAGTCACCGCAGGCGCGAGGTGTGACCGGGCCCAGCACTCCGAATAATCAGCGCACGGTTCTGGAGCCCCCCTTCACCCCTCCCGACAGACCATCCTCGCCACGACACTACTCGACGGCCTCGACGTCCAGGAACACAGCGCAGCCCGCCGATCTCCTCCTCGACTCTCCTGCCTCTGCGTACAACCAGGCTGAGGTGACACTGCCCAACCTCCGCCCAGAAGATCCCTTCGCCTACGCACACGATATCGGCTGGTCACCCAGTGCTTTCGAAAATCTCGGCAATCTACCCACAAGCGAAGACTCCCTCTTTGTCTCGCTGGCCGACCGTAATTTCCAGCCCTTTGGCTGGGCCTCTGCTCCAGATCAACAGCGCCTTCCCCCACAATCTCACGTTGCTTCCACCCTTAACTCAGTGCCCCCTGCACAACTCACCCCAGGCTTACTCACCCCGAGCTTCAACTTGAACAACACGTCGAACCTCAACTCATCCTCAGCTGCATCACTCACCGGCCAATATTTCGACTCACTCGAATCGTTCGGCGCCGAACCCGAAGACAACTACCACACAGCTCAGTCCTCGTTTACATCCGTCGACATGCCCAGCTCTACCAGACGTCAACAAGCTGCACCCATAACCATAGATGATTCATCGCCACCCTCAGCCAAGCGTCGGCGCTTCAGCGGCCCAGGAAGAAACAATTTGAACCCTGTCCCGACACCAAAAATCGAGGGTTCGTTTGCTGAGTCCGAGAATGCGGGGGCCGACAGCTTCGATGCGGACGACAACGCCCCGTTCATGATCGATCTGACCGAGACCAACAACGAGTTGCCAGACGACCTGATAGACATCGCCCCTGTTCCCAAAGAGGAAGACAAGAGGATTAAGTTGTCTGCTTTCCAATGCGTGATCTGTATGGATGATGCTTCCGTCCTGACCCTGACGCACTGCGGTAAGCTTCATATCGCCCTGGCAATCATCGTACCCAAACCTATACTGATATCATCCAGGTCACATGTACTGCGCCCAGTGCCTCCATTCATCCCTCACTGTAGAAGCAACCAAAGGCAAATGCCCGATGTGCAGACAAAAAGTTGATATGAGGAGTCGCGATTCGTACAACAGTAAGGTGAAGGGTTACTGGCCTCTCGAGCTCAAGTTGATGACCTCAACGCGCAAGGGGAAGCGCAAAGCCGGCAACCTTTCATAGACACCAAGCTCTCTTTTGCTGAGAGCGTCACAGAACGACAATTGGCTGGATTTATTTCGACAACGGGACGTGTTTCCTTCGACCTCATCTTCACTCTTGCTTCGCATGTGGCACACCGGACGGATATCGTTGCTAGTAGGGGGCTATCCCCTGGCTGTCGGAATCATTACGGTCCTCTACTCTGGGATGGACTTGTGTCCCCCTTTTCTAATTATTCCCTTACCTTTTCACTCCTCGGATAGAACCTGGGAGTGAAAACATTCAATTGCACGATAATGACATGGCGCGGCGTTTAGGCGGTCGGGCGGCAACAACCACAATACCAGTTGGCTTGATCTCTTGAACTACTGGGAAAAAAAGAAGGATGTGTAGGATGAGAGCACAGACCTGGAATGGAGTGTACGAGTTTTGCATATATCGGAAAACGGGCACTTCTCAATCAAAAGGCGCTCCTGGCTGGACATGGGACATAGCGTAAGGTATTATATATGAGATAATGAAATCAGATTCAACTTGCGAGTTGGTCTACGTATGGTATGGACGAGGGTATGGTTTAGAAAGAATAAAAATGTATCGCATCACATTACATTTCCTATTTTCCAACGGTGCACGTCCATCCTCTGGTTTGCCTTTTATGCCTTTATAATATCCAACGCCAACCAGGGTAAAGCATGGCGTATTAAAAAACTGACGAGCCCCTGCATATACATATAAAGAGTTAAAAAAGCAGCGGAAGAGCAGTTTGCAGGTGTCAGTGTTGATCGCTACATGCTTCTTTCTATCTGAGTTTCCCTTTTGTACTCCCGCCCCCATGAACCCACCTCTGTTTCAAAGTCACAGTTAACCAAAAGCTCTCTTAGTGGAAGAGCGAGCCGTTTTGAGGCTTAGGTTCTGGTATCGAATCGTTCTCAAACTATCAAGACGAAGCGTTAGCGAATGTGTTGGATGACAAGGGTCGGCCCGTAGTCACGTAGGGGTGGATGGGTGTTTGTACTAACCTCCAAAAACCCTGTTGCTGAAATAATCACCATGAGCCCATCAGCTAGATCCTCCAACTTTACGGAAAGCGTGCTGTTCTCAGCTACTGTGCCGATACCTGCGCTGCGCTTGAGAGTGTGGGCAACGAGCATGCGGTGGTCCGTCAGGAATTTGCGTCCCTGCACCAGGTTGTGGCTCCCTCTGCTGACGAGGGCGGCGCTGATCACGCGGACAACCTTGTTGAGAAGATCGTAGTGCTGCTCCAAGGCATTCGGGTTGTCGCTGCGAACTTGAAGTTCAGGGTCGGCGGCAAAGAGTCCTGAGGTCTCGAGGGTGCGCAACAGGTTGGCATGCAGCAGGTGCTTGGCTCCTGGCCGTGTTTGGGCCAGTTGCTGCAGCAGAGCAAGGCGAGCATTCTGGAAGTTTTGCTGGTCTTTGAGACCTAGCGAGGAAGTCAAGTTAGTTGATGAATCTTCAGATGCGCTTCTTTGTGGTTTTGGTTCATGTAACTTACCAACTGTAAACGCTTCGTGCCATTCGTTCATGATGTTGCGTAGGGAATCTACGAATACACCAATGAAGTTGAGTCGGTTGAGGGCATCGACGATATGCTCCGAGTCTAGATTGACCAGTGTGCCAAGCAGGATGAGTGCGGCAGTCTGACAGGCAGGCTCACCACCGTATGCGTCGTCGCAAATAACATTGACTAGCCTCTCGCCGTACATCTGAATCGATTTGATGGTCTTCGATCGATCCTGGTTCAGGGAGTCCCCATCGCTTAGGCGTGTCAGGTATCGGTAGCAGATCTCGTAATACACCGACCGTAGCTCGGCACTGCCAGCCCACTTCCCGATCGCTTGGAGACATATCTGAAACACTTGGTACAGCTTGTCGCCAATCAGGTTGCCAAGTGCGGCACTGCCTTTGTCCTTGTTGCTTGACAGAGACTCGTACACTTTAAAGAGTAGAACCTTGATTAGTTTGGAAAGTTCTATGGCCTCGCCGGGGCGATCTGCTGCGCAAACCTCAAGACTGGGCATGACTGCTTGCAAGATCTGTAAGAAGAACGAGGTCTGTGCTGTCCCCTTAAAGTCGTTGCTCTCGACCATGACCAGTAAAAGCCTGATCCAAGTTCCAAGGACGCTAAGTCGTTGCGTCTCAAGTTGCTTCTGGCGGTTGGTGGAAACGATGTAGTCGATGATTTCAGCTTCCTCATTTTCAATAGCCTTGAGCTCCTCTGCTGTAATGATTGTACCTTGAGATTTCGGTTCATTACGTTTGAGTAGCAGAACCTCACGCACTTGGTCCACGTTGAAAATGGAATTTGAATCGGCATCTGTTTCCAAACATATCGAGAGGTCGATGTTCCGGTAGAAGTTCAATGCCGGGGCCCCGATTCGCCAGGCCTCATCCGGCAGCTGGAAATCAAGAAGATCAAATACTGTAGGCGTCTTGATGGTTTCGTTATTGTCCCCAAGAACCTGACCACCCAGCGCTTCGAAGATACGTCGCTTGACGCTTGGCATTCTGCCCTGAGATATCATACATAGTTCCATGGCAATATACTCGAGAGTCATGCTGCGTAATGATAAGAAATCAAGCAACGCAGCTGCGCCATCAGTGACTGGGAAAGCAACCTCCTCAATATTTTCACCTTCCCAAGGGAGCCCGGGCAGTATGACGGTTTCCCGGACGAGAAGGTGAAATAGAAACTCGTTTTCACGTAACTCCTCAATAACGAAAGAGGACGAGAGAGGTGCCGCCCAGAGAATTCTCAACACGCGCATTGCACGAGTTTTCAAGGCCACGAGCCATCGTCGGATGCCTTGTGCATCCCCAGAGGGAGTTTCCATTAGTAGCTTAAGCAAGCTGTGAAATAAAGATGTCCTCGTGTCGAATAAGCTGTTAGCTTCGACGGAGAGAGAATCCACACCGCATTTGAAACCTAGAATGAGGTGGGCGATTGTCGGCTTTCGGTTTGATTGCTGAAGACATTCGATTAAGAAGTTAAGAATGTAGATCTTTGTCATGTAGGTGGAAGACTCGGCTTCGCGGCCAGCATCTAGGGGCGACATGAGCTCAGAAATGAAAGCTCGAGATATCGATTCATGCTCGCCATTGGCCTCCATCGCGACGATGGCTTTATTCCGGTGGTTTTGTCGGCTAGACCCGGACCATATGGCTGAAATTTTTGACGATGATGACATTTTCTGGAGCAGGTTGAGACATGATAGAGTCAACTCCGGATGTCCAATGCCAATATAGTTTCCTAGGTCTACCACCAGATTAAGTCTGGTCAATAGACCATCTTCGAATGAGGCGTAGGATGGCTTTGTGGCAGGTTGCCGCAACTGGCTCGACTGTTGCTTGATGATAGGCTTGACGAGGTTGATATAAGTGGCTTGCAGGTCTAACACTTTGGAGATGACCTCAATAGCTCGTATAATGCCCAGGATCAGGGGGGAATCAGGGGCAGCATTCCCAACGTCAATTTGTTCTTGGTGGATGGTGCTGAAAAGCGCAGCAAGGACCTTTTCGTTGTACATCCATTCCATCACTCGAGCAAATGGATGCATTCTCACGTATGTGGCCAGGTCAGAAGCTGCAATAATAGAGTCAATCATGAGGCTGGTGTCATTTGCCATTACAATCAGATCCTCATTGAAGGAGGCTAGGCAAGTTAGCATAAAATCCAAGCAGCCCAGCCTCAATACCCGAGTCTGATTGATATCTGCCAAATCGTTCGTCTTTGATGCGAGGACAAGACCGATAACATAGTCGATGTAGACTTCGATTCCTGGGGCCCGAAAAGCACTACCGAGATTCTCGGGAAATGGAAGAGCATCATTTAGCGGGCTGCTGTCAATCGAGGGCGACACGAGGATGAGCAGCAGCTGAATGAAAGATTCCGGATCATCAAAACCACTGCTGATCTCATCAAACGTCCTCTCCATCGACATCATAGGCGACGAAGGAGTTTGGCGGAGCGTGCCCGCGGGCGAAGTCACGTAACCACCCGTTATCCACATATCCAGACAGTTCCACATTGTGGCGCCCTCCTGGGTGGTTTTTCTTGCCATGAGGGCTTTGAGCGCCATGAACGCGCAACCACGTAGTGCTGGCGGGATCGGGGTGCTGGCAAGTTCCAAAATGGTCTCGACAAGATTGAACGACGGGTTATGTAGAAGAAATGTACGAGTTTCTTCACTCTCGGTGGCAAGTTTAGATATGAGCCGAAGATATGACTCCAGCATCATGGCTGATTCTGGTTCAGTTTCAACAAAGTCGGGCGCGGGCTTGCCACCACGATACCGAACTGTCTGAGACTGGGCTGGCTTCTGTTTGGCTTTATCCATAAAAAAGGTGAGCTCCCTGAAGATCTGGTTCCAGGTCAAAGATTGCAATCTCCTCAATTTGCCAGACGAGTGGTGACCTTCCTCCAGTAAGAACTTGTGGGCTTGTTCAGCACAGTTCTCGTCTCCTGAAATTGCCTGCAACATTTCACAGAAGGCAGTCACCAATGGGGTAGATGCCCTTCGTGACGCCCAGTGGAGGAAGCCATTGAGGTTACTCTCACCATCGGCCCAAAAATCAAATTGCGCCGTGGGCCGACCTTCGTAGGCGTAAGCAATGATAAGCAAAAACCGTTCTAGATCCAAGTCTTGCTCATGTAGTTGACTCAATTGACGTTGCTCATCTTCCTCGACTCTCAACTTCCGCAGGACATCAGGCAGATTTGTAATGAAGCTGTCGACAAAAATCTCAAACTTGGTCATAAGACTAAGTTGAAAGAAGTCCGAAAATTGGATGGCATCAAGCCCCAAATTTGGAGATTTTCGCTGCAGCCATCTGTGCATTCCGGCTCGCACTGGATCGTGCCAATCCAGGGGCTTGACATCACCAGCTAATGACAGCAGGAAATCAAAAGCGCCATCTTTCAAAGAGTCCAGGAACTGTTTCGACCGTTGTCGGTCCTCTGAATCACAAGTCAGCAAGTTCCCTGCCAGGAGCGATCGAGCGTGTACTGACCTTCGTCCAAATTAGTATTAGGAGGGATAGCAGACTCTGGGGGATCATCTAAATAAAATCCGCTGTATTCAGCAAGCCACCAAGCGCGGACGGCAGCCTGAAGATATGAGAGTGCCCATGTAGGCTCATCTGTGTAGGGGAAAAGCTTGTTGTTTAACTGTCGAACTTCGATGAGATCGTGTCCGCCAACAACAGACCCAAACACGGAGATGTAAGCCCCGGTTGCGGGCATCAAATGGACTACGATGAGAAGTTAGTGAGATTTCTCAAAGATCAAATCATCCTCCGACAAGAGCATACTTAAAAGGTAGTCGTATTTATCGACTTTGCGCAGTGTTTCTATGAATTCGACAAAGTGAGTAGATTTGGCCTGGTGTGCTGATACGCATCGGGCGAGGATGACGCCAAGCAGTTCGTGTTGTTGAATCAGAGAAATTCTCGAAAACTCGACCGTCTCAGCTTCTTCAGACAGGCCCGGGTTTTGCGTGTTCCCAAGGGTCTGTGCCGCAGTTATCTTATCCCCAAGCCTTTGAAGCCATGCCTTGATGTTGCCCATGGTTGCGAGACACCTAGGGACTATCTCATTCCCAGGGCTTGCCGAACCAGGACCAGAAGAAAATAGTCGTTCGCCGACATAGATCTTGATCGGATGCGTATCTTGTCTTGGATCGTCCAGATCCTCCTCGTCGGATTCCAACTCGAGCATAAGCCTGAGAATATCAAGCACGTATCGCCTTTGTCGATGAAACCGAATCAAAGCACATTCAAGTAGAGAACGTCCGAGGAGTGATGGATCGTCTTGTGACTCAAGTAAATATTGCGATGCTACAAGCTCGTCGAGATCAACTTCGTCCGAAAAGCTCAGGGCTGTTTGCTGGAAATCTTCGTTCACAGAGTACTCGGCGTCGCCAAAGGTGATTTTCCCTAGTTCAAGTTAGTCTTCCCATCACGACTTGGGAGGAAAATGGGTGATGACGAACCAGACTTCAGCTTGCCTCGGCTTGCTTCGTTCTTTGAGGGTCGCGACCACAATCTCTCCAGCTCGCTCTCGAAAGCTTGTACGAGCTCATCTTGGGCCAAGACCTCTCCTGGGTCGGAGCGGCCCTCTTGTACGGCAACAAGCTCGTGATGGAAGGCTTCGAGAGCCTCCAGTAGTGTCAAGTCAGCCATCTCGGCGAGGGGGAACTATTGCATATTGTCGCGTCAAGACTCAATGACCAAAGGACACCTTCGCGGAAGGGTCGTAAGTGCGTATCCCTGAGGCGCGAGTAGATCGATGTCGCGAACGGGTTTTGGCCGTGTACTGGTTTCCAGAGCGACCTGGGTCAAAAGGAATCGACGGGGCGTATGACCGGTAGCATCGACTGTATCCCTGGCGTGGTCGAGGGGAAAATAACAGGTGTCTATGGTCGGATAGGATTTTAGGCCGCAGGTGCGAGGTGATCGCGCTGTCGCAATGCGGTCCTTTGTTCTGAAGCTGATTGTTCGCCCGTCTGCACCAAAGAAACAAATTGGTGGGCGGTGAGGCGTTCTGCCGCCCAGCTCAGCTTTGTTTTGAGGTAGCTCAGAGCTGTTGAAGAGCCGACCCACTAGTACTGCCTGCTCAGTGGCTGGAATAAATGGCATTACAGCTCTGTTCACGTAAAGCAGAGGTCTGGTTTTGACGTGATTCTATATTGAAAATACTAAATACAATAATGAGAAAATAGCAAATTAAACTTTTAATATTGAGCTTAATATTTTATTTATTACTGGGTTGATTATTTCGATATTATATTCAAATTCAACACCCGAGGTTCTGGGTGCTATCTTCTTAAGTCAGTCGCTTGACTGCGCGACAGGCTACGAAAATTAATATGGGGCTACTTCCTTGCCAATGATGACCGTAGTAATTAATTAAGTCAAGGCGCCTCCCATTGCGACAGCCAGTCGCAAATCCGTAGATGAGATAAAGGAGCAGCTTTATGACCGCCTATTCCGCTGTCTTTTGCCTTCAAGCCTCCTCAGTAATGGCCATCTAAGCGCCCCTATCTTGCCAGTGTAGAATTAGCGTCTGGTCGGTTAGAACGCGTTCACGTTCACGTGCTTATAATAGTTGAGAACGCGTATCGCCATCTTCAGCCGGTGATGGCAATTCATCTTCTCATCGCGCATTGCCCACACCATGTCGTTGTCGCACAAGCCGACGCTTGAGAGTCTGGCCTGTATATCACCCATTAACCCCAACCCCGTACCCGGCCATGGACTGACGTTTGCAGCAACCATCAGAAGTGCCACTCAAAAGGCACGCGAAAAGGCTTTGGATGGTATTGTCGAAACTCCTCCCAATTAATGTCACACAGACAAGACATTACTGACACTGGCTCAGATCTCATCCAAAACCTAAGCCCCCAAAGCCAGAATACACAAATGTATGTATGCTATTTGTTCCTACATTATGTTATTCATTCCTGCTATTCTGCCATTTGCTCTTGCTATTCTGCCATTTGTTGCTATTCTGCGATTTATTGTTATTCTACTAATTATTCCTACTATTCTGCTATTTATTCCTGCTATTCGTTCCAATCAACACCACCGTCTGTTAACAAGTCATAGAGCGGACCTTGACGACAAGAGCTACCACCGAGTTTTGGAAGCGATCTTCAGTTATGTTCTCCAAGAGAAGCCGGCCTTGTACAAGCAAAAGTCTCAAAAAGGTGCCGCCTCGCGCCTAGAGAAGTGTGCCGACGCTGTCAAGGCCACTGTGTCTCGGGGTTTGCCTAGATTTGGACGGAAAACCCTGCATGCCGTTATAGATCACATAACGCAGACGTTACCAGGGCCAAACAACGACTTCGTACAACCTCTTCTCCAAGGCTATGTCAAAGCATTGACGGAGCTTCTTTCTCGCCAAGCACATGTGGAATCGCTGGCGTGCAAAGATGGCGGCCATTGGGACGCCTGTGTTGACTTTCTCCTTGACCTCGGACACCGGATCCTGCCCGAGGAGGCCGATCGTGTTTCGAGCTCCTATGCGAGATCATCACCCGCACCTGGGGCGATCCCGCTTCGTTCTTCTTCTTCGTCGATGATCAAGGCCGCATCTCAGAAAAGGTCGGGTCCAAACGAGGGCGGACCCCTTCGCGATGTCCTGGAGGGCCTTTATCATCTAGTCCGAGCCTCCAACGCGCCCGTCACGCGGCAGTCAAATCAGATCGCTGAGCTTGTCTTAAGAATTCTAAATGTGAAGCACTTCAGCCTAGGCTCCATCCAAACAGTATCCTTTGCGATCCTAAATTCACTATTCGGGGCGATACAGGCGGATAAACTCGATGAATCCCAATCTCTCATGAAGAAGATCATTCCACTCATGGTGTTTTGGTGGCGAGCTGACAAGGTCTCGCAAGATGAGCTCATCAGATCTTTGAGAAATGAGATGCTCAAGGCCATATTACACATGCACCTGCACATCGAGAAACTAGCCATTCATGTCGAAGACGAGAATTTCACGCGGGACCTAGAAGACCTAGCCGACACCTTCTGGGTCGAATACTCCAAACGCGGCGAACCTTTTCGTCTCCAGCTTGTCGACATCACATTTTCGCTTTCAATCCTTCCTGAGTACTCATTACGCACCCGTCTCTTTGGCCTCAGACCTCACAATGTGGAAGGCGAGAGCTATTGGGCATTGGTTCAAGCCTTGGCCCGCCTGGAATCAATCCTCATCAACTGCAGCAATCGTACGCAAGACCATATCGATGAGCTTGAACTGCCACGCAAGAGGCGCCGAATCCGCGAAAGTTCGAGTAGGGTTCGACTCAAGCTGAGATCAAAAGAGGTGGGAGTTCGAAGGACAGCAATTCAACTAATCCCTTTTATTCTGGCCTCTAATTCCTTGCGGGTTGATGACACCGTCGACTTTTTGGAGGATCTTACAACATTAGCTGGAGACAAGGATCCCCTCACTGCCTCTTGGGCTCTCATAGCTTGTGCTAGGTAAATTCTGAAAAGGAAAATCGGTACCCGTCTAGCCATATTAACTAACCGCAATGTAGTTGTGCTCTGAAAGTAGGTGAAAATAGAGACATCGCCGATACCTGGAGGCAACTGTGGCATATTGCCTCCCGTGCCGTTTGCCTACCTTCAACCAGTCGTGCAGCGTGTTGTTTACTACACACCCTGCTTCTGGCCAATCATCTTCCGTATCATGAGATATCAGAAGAAATAAATAGTATTGTAACAACAGCAGATGTAAATGGACCGGCGATCCTGTCTGACACGTCTCTGGCGCTGATGCTCTACTTATTTCACATTCGAAACATGAGATCGCCAAATGCAAGCCAAGCGACTTGTTCCCATATCATCAGATGGGTATTTCTCAGGTGGAATCCAAGTACGTGACCATCCCCCGAGGTTATTCTCAAAGGTTATTCCCAGAGGCTATTCTCAGAGGCTATTCTCAGAGGCTATTCTCAGAGAGTTTTCTCAGAGAGTATTCTCAGAGATTATTTTTGGTGTAAATACTAACACCATAATCAATGATAGGCGAACATACATACGCATCGTTTCACGGTGTTCACGTACAGGCCACTGATTTGGTCAATCTACTCCGGGCGTGCTGCGGCCTCACATCACTAACTCTAGGAATGAAAATCCCCGTCTACGATGGCTCGTTAGGTGAGGTCTGGAAAACCCAAGAGCAAATGAACTCGATCAACGAGTACCTGTTACTACTTGAGCCGAGTGGCATGTCTCCTCCGGGTGCTGGTTCAGATGCAGAGCAGATCTTACCACCACTTGCGGATGCGAGCAGCTTTTTTACATCGAAAAAGCTGATTCTGGAACTTCTATATCCCAAGCTCGAAGATCTCAAGGAATTGTCTATATCTTGGACAAAGAGGTCAAATGAGGGAGGCACCCAGATCTCTCTTGAAAGGTTCCAAAGTCTTTTGATGGCTGTGGTTGCCAGTTCGCTGCTGGCCCCTGAACTAGACTCCCTCAATACGAGGCAGTCTTCAGCCCTGTTCCCAGTTCTTGTTGAACTAACGGAGAAGAGTCTGACCTCGGCCATGGATTCCGTTGAACCCTTGGCTTTTATTGACCTCACATTGAGATTGGTCCGGCCTTGTATACCCGAGCTTGTCCGTTCGAGCCTAGAACGATTCCAAGCAGAACATGCGAGCCTGGCTATTATATTCTCAAAGATTTTTCAGTCACTCAAGCGCCATGATTCTCTTCAAAGCTCAGCACAGAACGTTGATTTTATGGATATCGATCCCGACTTCAACTCACAGGCGAGCCGAGCAAGCACAAGTTCCGCGCCCAGTGCTATACCAAGACTGTACTCGCAGCTCAGCACGCATCGCGGAGCGTACTATCTTGATACAAGGAAACGTCTGAGCCTGATCCACACTCTATGCGAGCATCGTGAACAAATTGGTCTCGTACCGGACCCGTTTGTTGACGAGCTTTTGGATTTGCCGGATGAAGATTTGCTTTCTTGCCAGCGGCTGGTCGTTGACTTGATCAAGTCAGACCTGGTTATAAGTCCCGAGTCTGCCACGTCTCTGATCAACAGGCTCGGTGATATCGTATCACACTTCGAATATCGGTGTTGTGAAGTCGCACTGAGCACTTGCATCGAGGTAATAAGTGGTTTATACAATGTTTGGCATCATGACAACCAAGAACTTTGCCAAGACGTTAGTGATTTATACCGTCATTTCACTAATATTTGCCTACCCAACAACATGTTTTCCCCTCAAGTACAGATTTCAATGGCCGCTTTTCTGTTCAACCTTCTAAGAGAAGATCACGAGTACGGCACCAATATCAGGGCCAACTCATGCCGGACATCGCTCCTATATATTCTCATGAGCGGGCCGATGTCGGTCAAGAGTTATATCGGTAACAGAATCGCTGAGATCTTCGACTTGTACATTCTGAAGCTTCACGATGAGGTATTCGTCGACGTTCTGGACAGTCTTCCAAAGGACCCTGACAATGTTGCCGGGATAGCGTTCCGGCTACTTGTCTTGTCGAAAATAGCATGTCGCTGGTCGACCTTGTTACGAAGATGCACCTATCATATATTTGAGACACCAGGCAAAGTATCGCTTGCGGCAAATTACGCAACCCGTTGTTGTGCTATCATTTCAAAAGAGCTAGATCTCAAATCTCCCCGAGAACTC